CGCAGCACATCTCAAGCACAACGAGCACTCGAAGCAACCGCTAAAGAAACAAAATGCATTTTCTTTGTATTGTTTTTGTTTGGATTGTTTGGTCTGTGCGCTTTAAGGTTTCAGTTTCATTTGCTTCATGGCCACTGATTAAGTGCATTGTAATTAACAGAGAGAAAAGAGTTGCACAAAATTTATGAGGATATTTATCAGACTATTTGGACAGCAGCTGCTGCTGCTCTAACTGGATTTATATATATATATATATATATATATATATATATATATATATATATATATATATATATATATATATATATATATATATATTATAAGATTTCAATTTCGATTGTGGTCAATATAAATAAGCTGGCTAATTAATTTCGCTTTTGACTGCAATGGGTTCATTGTTCATTGTGGTCCATCGCCCAGTCGACAGTTTTTGCTTTGATTTATATTGAGATTCTGGCAAAAAGCATTTGCCACACTTAACAGCTTCAACAATATGGCAATGCAGCAAAAAACAATAACAATATTCGCATGTCGGCAAACTAAAAACGGGACTGCAACTGGGCATGCCACATGTGAAGATCAACAACCTTGCCAATGCGAATACGTGAATGCGATGCAAGCGCGTTACAGCGCCAACAACTGTGGTATCGGCAGCAACGGCAACGGACAACGATGCGGCGTTGCACATTGGCTTAACTTTATTTTTTTATGAATCTTCAAATAAGTAGCAGAGTTTTAGTTTTATATTCATATCATTCACTATAAATATGAATATAATTTTGCTTAAGACTTGATATTATTTATTAACATTGTTAAATCAATTATAAATCCTATTTCATTAGACTTGAATACTGGCCAAGCAGTAGCCTTTGTTTACGCACAGTTCATTAGGATTAGAGTTTGGCCCAGATGTACTCTTTTTCTATTCGTTTATGTATATATCATTTTCGACTTAAATATATAAAAAAAAAATATAATTGTTGTGAGTTATATAAGCTTTAATCATAATAGAATAAAAAAAATATAGATTTAAGATCAATAAATTGAGTTTTTTTTTAAATAAAAAATAGTATGAAAATTATGTTTAAATATGATTTCTGCAATATGGCTGCAATGAATGCATTGTACAAGGCGATATCTGGAGCACCAACTTTCATAATCATCATAATCGCTTTTGAAGATATATGGACCGATGACTCCGTCTTCCATCAGCCCACAAAGTGCACCAAATACATATTTTCTGTGGTTTCAACAAAGCTTGTGGATTATACTCACTCCAAAGGCGACAAGTTTGCTTATTTTCGCACCTATTCAAGCCATTCAATGGATTTAATTATGAATGAATGAATCCATGGTAAGTTTTAATATAACCATTCTGATGTTAGTCTATGTATTATAAAATGTCAAACTAAACTCAACGAAGAGCAAAAATCAGCTGTTAAATAATTTATTAAATAAAGCAAAGTTGCCAGCTTAAAGTTATAAAAGTCTGAAAAAAAACATAGACCATTCAGATTAATTTCATTTTGTCAGCAGACACATTCAGTTTGTATTATTTGCTATACTTAAACTAGTGCTATATTCTTATTAAATTTCACCTATACGAACTTTATACCACTGTGCAGCAACGGCGCTTGCAACGCTTGGACAATGTTGGAAAATGTTACGTGTTTCGGGCTGACGCTTAAGTTATTAATTTGCTGCTGCTGACGACTGACGAGCGAGTGAGTAAATTGTTGCTGCTGTTGTGGTTGTTGTTGTTGTTGTTGTTACAGTGTTTTATGGGTCCATTGTTATGGCAGCATTTAGATCATTATACAGTTTATGGTCTTTTGCAGGCCTATTATTGTCTTAAGCATTTGACTTTTCTTTTGGGGTCTGTAGTGCTGTCGCCAAGGAAGTGCTTACGGCTAATAACTCGTATGCTGCTGATGATAGGCAATCTAGTGAGATGAGACACAGCTTTTCACTTCAATGCGAGAAACTCAGCCTGACCACCAGGTCAGTCTTAATGCAGGGTTGGGCTGGCCAACGCCCGATATCTTGGCTGCCTGCCCGAGCAGTGCCCAACGTGACGGCAATGGCCAATCGATCCACTTTGGGCGTAAAACTTTCAATTTCAATAGCTTTCGTGCGCGCTTGGCATGCGAAGAGGGGCAGAGCTAGTCTGCATCCAATTGAATGGCAATTGGAATTGCAGTGGCATCTGCCTCGATAGACATCTGGAAGTGCAACAAATTTCGCGTGCGCGGAAGTTGCTGTCGCCTCTTGCTGCAAATGTTGCATATTTCGAGTGTGTATTTTTCGCTAATAATGTTTCGTCGACTGGAAAGTCGGGATGCAGCCGCAGCCACAGCCGCAGACGTTGCTGCATTTGCATAGGAAAAATTATAAAAATTGGTACAATTTGCCGTCCATTACGGCAGCTGATTATGCTAATTGTTTGCTTACATACTTGGCTTTTACGTAAACTCATTTAAGCGATGTGGCAACAGGCTAAACAGGCACTGTGAACAACGCACATAAATTACCCATGGGGGAAAGTTGACCAGCTAAGAAGATTGAATATCATATCTAAAATCTGTGTTGCAATCAGAGCAGAGTCGATGCCACATGAAACCACATCTGGCCAAAAGGGCGGCATTTGCTGCTTAAACGGCAGAAAAGGAATTTACAAATCGAGTGTGTGGCTTTGGCATATTTATTTCATTATTCAAATAGTTTTACTGATTTTCAATTATATATAAATTTATTTTTATATTTTATTTTATTTTTTATATTTTTTTTGCAAGGACTCGTTGGGATGTATTATTTGTGTCTTGAAGCTGACTTTGCCTGGCTTATGTTGCTTTGGAAACTACAAGCAATATTTTTTGGCATTAAAAACTCTTATTTATCAGAAAATAATTCAACTAAAAATATAGAATATAGATTTTTAGCTCAAATTTAGCTCAGATTGCCTCTTCGACTACAAGGGAACTCACTACAAAAGCTCGTTTATAGTGTTAGATGCTAAGATGCTAAGAGCCTTCAGCAAGATAAGAAACTACAAAGATGGAAGTGATAGGTGAGAAACTCAGTGCTATATACGGATCTAGCAGATTCATTGGGCGAAACTGTTCCAGCTACAACTCCAGACTGGCAGCGCTTGCAGCAGGCGATGGCTGTAAATCTACATATATTTATATATATTGTAGAATATAATAGAGTAATAAATAAATAAGTCTAGACTTAAGATGTATATACTACAAGATAAAGACTTGCGCACTCACTGGTTTAGCTTAGTGGCGAAAATAAGCTGCAACAAATGGAATGGAATGAAAAAACCAAGTGCACTCAAGAACACATTGAATGCTCGTCGGACATTCAATATCTTAATGACTTAATTCAGCGAACGGTCACACTTAAATGGAAGCGCACAGTGCACACCGAAAAGCTCCCATGCGATTGGCTGGTGTCTTAATTGAGTTTCGTTGCTATTTTTTTGGAATTTTGTATTTCCTGTTGGTTTCGGCAGCTGATTTGCGTGTCTGGCCGCAAGTTGCTTAAATTTGTATTTTGTATTTTGTATTTTTTGTGTGTAACATGCATTTAAAACTTTGTTGGCATTTAACATCGCAGCAATGCAAACAATCCACAAAAAAAAAAACTAAAACCGAATGTCGAATTAATTTTCAATTGATATTATTGTGTGTTGAGCTTTATTGGTTTTATGCGTGCCTTCCGGGTGACCGTTGCGAATTGCATAATATACTTGAATTTAGCGCTGAATATTCCGCATTAAATATGTGTTAAATGCGCCAGCGATGCACTTGCCACACATGCATGCAACATTCATGTCAACAGAGTGTGGCATGCTTTTAGGCGGCACTTTAATTACTGCATAATTGATATATCAACCAAGTGTAAGCCTGCAGTTAAGGCAATATAAATTAAATATAAAAACTGTGCTAGGGAATACCCTGTTGATGCCACAACAAGCCAAAAGTATAATAGGGAATACTCTTGTCGAAGTATACATAGTGCATTATTATTAGATGGTGAGAAGCTGGGGTCTATAATGCAGAGAAGAGCACTGAGCTAGGGAATACTCTGTTGAAGCCATAACTAGTCTAGCGTCATTAGATACTGCAAAGAAGTATACAATACCCATAGAAATTGCTTGACTAGGGAATACTATGTACGGTGTATACTTAGTGCGCCAGGATACACGGCCTGAGGCTGAGCATCTTTATACTGAGAAGAAGAGGTATACAATACAGAGAAGAATGCTGAGCTAGGGAATACCCTATTAATATCATAGTTAGATCAAATACATAGACGAATATTAAATATCCTGTTAAAGCACGTTAAGATACACATAGAAATAGCTGGACTAAGAAATATTTTGTGTAGCATAAATAAAATACGCAGCTTGAAACTAAGAATTACCTTGGATTCTGAGAAGAAGAAATAGTTAATACTAATAATAGGAAGACTGAGAAGAAGTAGTAATTTATACAGTTAGGAATGCTAAGCTGGAACAGGAAAATTCTGAAAAAGCTAACCAAGAGGGAAGACATGAAACTGAATACTTTGCATCTTTTAGGTATGTCAGGCATATTGGCTTTCAATGTTCAAACTGATTTACTGAAAGTCTCTTGTCTAAGCTCTCTTGCTTAGATGGACTCAAAAGCTACATACGTTTTGTATCACAGTGTAATGCAGTCTTGAAGAGGCCAGATCTCTATTCCATAAGGCTTATTAGTCTAAGGTTTACCAATGTTTCAGTGAGAGCTTCGAGGGAGACGCTGCATGGTCAAGCTGCTGTTAGTTATATATAATATAAATAAAGTAAATACATACAGTTCCTTTACACCTCAATCTCATCTAGCTTCGAGCATATACAAAAACCTCGCCTTCATTTATTTCACATTTTTTATTTGTGCAAAAATATATAAATTCAAAAGCACATATAATTACAAGCTAATTATTGCACATATTTAACACAATTTGTTGTTGTTAGCACAAAATACAGAAAAGAGGGAGGGAATAAGAAAACAATTAATTAAATGGGTTTACAATAATAAAACAACTGGCATGAAGGCATGAAGGCATGAAGGCGCGTGTAAATGTAAGAGAAGATGAACTCGAATTTGATGAAGATCAGACAAGGAGCTGCTTTTCTCAGTCTCCATTGCAGCTGAACCAATTGCACGGCTGGTTGTTCAACCTGATGCCGAGCACACAAAATAAATACTAATGATAGTTTACTTTCGACAACAACAAACAAAAGAGAGCGATGATTTTTATACAATAATATTAACAAATAGCTGCAGAATTCAGCGGAATTCAGTTAACCCTCTAGCAGCTGCGTCGTCTTGTACTCCACCGCCGAGCCCATCTCGGCGCCCAGCTTCTCTCGCACGTATTCACGTATCTGCTGCAGCTGGTGCTCGGGAGTGGAGTCTGACTTGGCTGCCCGCTTGCCTTGGCGCTGTTGGCGCGACATCTTCAGGCCGTGGGCGTGGTAGTTGTAGGGCGGCTGTGTAATGCTCATGGGCTCGGCGGCCTCATGAGATGGCTGATAATCGGCAGCTGTGGTAGCCACATCTGTGTGACCACTCTCCGGCTGCTGCTGCTGATGCTGCGCATGCTGTTGCTGCTCATCTGCGTATGGCCGAATAGAGGGCAGCGTATACATGCGCGATGCGTAGTCGGAGCCGCTGCTCTGCGAATTAAAGATGACCTTAGTGTGTGTGGGTCGTGGGTTGTTCTCGGTGATGGGCAGTTCATGATCGTGGCCATTTGGCTCTGCTTCCGGAGCCGTAGGTGGATCCTGTTCGGGCACATAAATGGGCTGCTGTTGCTGATGCTGCTGTTGCTGCTGGTGCTGGTGCTGATGATGCGCAGTATCCGAGGGCTCAGCGTATTGCGTCTGCGGTGCCATGGCAATCAGATACAGCTGTGGCTGGTAGCTGTTCTCGTACTGCGCCTGCTGCTGAGGCTGGGCGTAGTAGTATTGTGGCTGCTGTTGGTAGGCGGTGGGCGCATAGTAGCTCTCTGGAGCGGGCTGCTCGTACTGCGGTGCCTGGGCTACCTGTTGATGGCGTCCTTTGTAGCTTTGGTAGACATCATCGATGGGTGCGTATTGTATGGGCGGTGGTGTTGCTGCCACCTGGTGGGCATAGTTGACATCTGGATGATAGTGAGCCTGCTCGTGCTCCTCGGGCGTGGCATAGGGCTGTGGTGCCAGCTCCTCGGCCTGATGCTGTTTGCGCTGCTCTGCCTCCTGCAGCAGCTGCAGATACTGGGCGGCACGTATCTCCAGGTATTGCTGCAGCAGCGCTTGCAGATGCGCCGCATATTTGGCCGGGCCGGGTATACGCAGCACAATTACGGGCTCTTGGTAGCCAGCGGCATCGCCTCCCGCCGCATTTGTCTCATGTTGCGGCTGTGGCAAGTCAATCTGCGGCTGCTCAGCGCCCGGCTGGTGTGTTTCATAACTGGTCTGTGGCTTCAGCTCATATGAGTAGGAGGGCTCAATGGTCACGCTGGTCACCTGCTGATGCTGGATGGGCTGCTGCTGGGCCTGCGTTGCGCCGGGCTGTTCGTAGTCCGCGGACGAGTAGCCAGTATAAACATCAGGTGATTCCGTCGCAGGTATATCATGCTGTGAGTACGGATAGAACATAAACTTGGGCGGCGTATAGTCGTATCCCTGTTGAGCATATCCATAGCTGTAAAGAAACAGAGTCTTAGTATTTCACAATCCAATCATAATCATAGTGGTTAGGTCAACAAAGTAGCTCATAAGTCTTGAAGCATGTTCCAGTTTTCACTCTCGATATGAATTCTTGACAGCTAATTTAAATACCCGTTTACGTTCTCTTTTTCCCATAAGCTTGCTATTGAACTTGTAAATGTCAGTTGAGGAAGTGGGAATGCCACTTTAACCAGAGATAATTGCGTTGCATTCTTTGTTATTTATAGAAGATTATTATGGGAGCAACTTTATGAAGGTCATTTAAAAACCTAAGACTCTGATCGAGTAGTTGTGTAAATTGGAATGCATTTTCGATTCGAAACGATTCATATTTCAGATTTTCGTCAGGATAACTTTGAAGGTTAACTAGAAATTCGAGAAGAAACGCGCAGGGTGGAGTACAAAAATAAAGAAAGAGAAGGCTGCACCAGCTAATTCTTTAAGGATTAATAAGCTAAACTAGGAGATAAGGCTACATCTCTTCCTAGCTTTGTCGCAACAAACTGAAAACTGCAAACTGGTTCCATGCAGCAACACCTAACTGTCGCTACAGTAGAGAAGTCACTGACCCCAGCTCGCCGTCAATGGTGCGCTTGTTGTTCTTGCCACCTCCACTGCTGCTGGTTGAATTCTCACGCTCCACTTTGATCTTGATCTTGTTGCCGTGTAGCTTGAACTGTTTGTCCAGCTCCTTGATGAACTCTAAATCATCTGCGGGCAAATTTCCAAAGCTGGCAGCCAGCGAAGGTGTCTTGGTCGTTGCCGTTGACTTGGAGGCGATCTTAACGCGTGGCTTGCTCGGTTTCGTTGTGGCCGTTGTGGATGAAGAGGACAACGCTGAGGTGCCGGGTGTCTTGGTCGGTCGCTTCTTCAGCGTAGTTACCTTCTTCGGATAGCCGCTGGCTGAAGATTTCGTTGGCGTCTCTGGATGGCCTAGAGCACTGGACAAGCACAGTCCCACGCAAAGCGTACACTGCAACGAAAAATGGAAGGATGCAAAACTGTTAAGTGATTCCAATCATACATAGCCATGCTTAGATGTGTGCAGAGGCACAAATGTGTGAATGCAGACTGAGCGATGCTTTTGTTTGGTGCCACCTTTGTCTCTGCTTTGGGCTCAAGGTGAGGCGCCAGCTAGACAATCGAGCGCTGTGGCTACGATTGCGCCAAAAGCTCTTTTGTTTTTGTGCTCTTGGCTATCGAATGGTCTCGATACAAAAACCCAACCAGCTAAAATCATTAAAAATCACAGCGACTCTTTAAGCAGCGGTAATAAAATCAACAAACACTTTTACAGCTCACACACACACGTATTTCACATTTGACATTTCGTCGTCGATTCAATAAAGTGAATGTGCCGAAGCAGAAGTCGGGCTGCAGGAAAAACATTTTGCTCAGTTCGTGTCCTAAGTCTTTTGTTTAGCATGCACAAACAAGTTTGCAGCATTGCCTTTATTAATAAATAATATTGTTGAATAGTGTAGTTGTTAGTTGGAAGAGCTTTGCTTAGGCCTTGCAATATTTTGTCAAGTTCGTGTCCTTAGTCTTTTGTCTTCAAAATTTTATAAGCGTTTGGCTTACATCATCATAGACATCTCTGACTCTGGTCATGAATTGGAAGGGAATGAGGTATATATATATATATATATAGGTTGAACCTAATATTAAATGATTTCTAAGAGCTTTCCGCCACCTCTTTGGAGTATGTCCGCTTTCTCATCAACATTTTTAGTTTTACATTAAATTAACATGATTTGCATAAGCACTGAGTTGCGTTTGTTAACATGATTCGACCAGATTTCATGGCTGTGTCGTACAACATGACTCTATAATTTTGCTTTGTTTATTCTTGGAAACTGTAATAACCATTTCGTTGCACGCTTTGGCCAGCATTTCAACACTGTGCATGTGCCTAAGTGTTCGCTATAATACTCACATTTTTTAATTGCATTTTGTCACTCAATTACAGCGACGATAAATTCGAAACTGGGACAGTGTGCCAACTTAAAGACTCCCGGACTCAAGATACATAATTTAATAGCGCTCAGTGCCTAGGCAGCATTTTACTCGTGCTTATTTTGCAATTGTTTGTGTGTGTGCGTGTGTTGCTGTTGTTGTTGCTGCTGCTTTAAGCAGGAAGACTGTTTGGCTAACTTTCGTTCACCTGCTGCACGGGCGCACCTGCGACTCAGCAACAAAAAATACTCAAAAAAAAAAAAAAAATAGCAGAAATAATTTCTGTCAAATGCTAGCATTGTGGTTGGGACATGTTTACAGCTGGAGGGGGCGGGCGGTCGTTGGCGAGGAAGTCGACGAGTTTCGCTAACATGCGAATTTATGCGATCTTTGCTGTTATGTTAGCCGCTTTTATATAATGCGTCCAGCAGCAGCCACTGACTCCCCTCCCATCTGCCTCTGGCCGCCTGTCAGCCTGGCTAGCATTGATTTATTTTTGGTGGCAAGAAAATAAAAACAAAAAACCGTTTGTGTAATAATTTAATTAAACTAATGTTGTTGTTGCCTTTCACTTTGCAGAATGTGACAAGCCAAATTGTGCCAAGCAGCTCAGGCAGAACATTGTGAAGCGCCAGCCGCACAGTAAGCCTGCGAAACTCTGTGGAATGCTGAACAGTGTCCACATATACTAAATGCTTTTGTGCCGTGAGTCGTGAGCGTCACGACACGCGTGCATCTCTAGAATGGCCGAGCCAAAAGAAATTATAGCTGCTGGCGCTACGCAACGCGTGCAAATTAGCTTCAGCTACGTTTTGCTGTAGTTTGTTGTTGCTTTACCGTTTGCCGCTGTTGCTCAGTGATGCAACAAAAGGTATAAAACAAAGACAACACACAAAAAAAACCATAACAATAAAATGTAAATTAAACAACAATAAACCGAGTAGTTAGGCAGCTGCCAAAAGACGTCAAAGCCTAGTCCTGTGCCTGTGCCTAACTCGGCTATGAGTACTTTATATAACCGCCGCAAGCATTGCAACCGCGCCACCAAAACAAGTTCTGCATGCCACACAGAAAAATGTTGTCGCATTTGCGTAAATACGGTTTGTGGCTAAGTTAGTTTGGCAATCCCATCCAATCCAGTTGGTAGATCTGCCTAATAAACGTTGATAGCCAGCGACTCGGGCCAATTAGCGAATAGATATAAGCACTGCAACTGGAACTATCTGATGGCTCGCGCGTGGCGGCGTGCGGCAGACGTTGCTTTGACGAGGCCAGAACCGCAGGCGCTTTAGCCAACTTTACGTTTAAAGACAAGGGCAAGGGCGGCGCGTCACAACTCGAGAGGTTAAAAGGTCAGCCAAGCGTTCAGATCGAATCTGGTATCTTTGACGAGCTGTAAATGGAATTAAGCTGTTGTTGTTGCTGTTGTGCTGTGCGGAGACATCTTAAGGCGTAGAGCTATATCTAATTGATAGATTTCAGTATTCGAGTCGACATATACAGCTATAAATTATATTGATTTGTTCGATTTCTTGTCAGGCAGCTGCATGATATATCATTATATTTTGGCCGTCATGGAAAAAGTCTATTAACAATATCTTTAAAATTATGTAACATTATAAATATTATATATTATTTTAGCAAATGTCTGCATTGAGCTTGTGGCCTTACAAAAAATTTTATTTATTTTTTTACAACTATTTTGTAATAGAAAAAACATCAATACAAAGCTGCTTGTTTATAAGTTAAATATACGGTTTGCTACCAAAAGCTGTATAAATGTATATATATAAATATCTATATATATATATATATATTCGAATAGATATTAAATTTTGTAATCTTTTTCAGATAATCAAAAGAGTCAAGTCATGTATTTCTGTAACATAAACCACTTGAGCAGCTAAATTATTGCTGGGGTAGAGACTGTGGCAGGATCAGTGAACTGCCAGCGAAGACCGGCTAAGCTTAGTGCCACGAACTGGCCGCAGACACACACACATACACACACAGAGTTGTAAACTCCCACTGTGAGCACTTTCTATGACAGTCATTACGTGGCATTGCCCCAAAGTCCCGCGCCCCTTGTTAAACAAAAGTGAAACATATCTTACAGCTGGCCAAGCCGGCTCAGTGGCTTAGTGGCTGCCATGCAAATTAATTGAGCAGCCGGAGCAACGGATGACGGCACCGGAATGGCAGGAAGCGTTACGAGTGGGCGTCAGACACGCCTTCAACTAAACTTTCGACTTCTAAGGCAAATTTAAACAGCTAACAACAACTGCTTTAAGCGTGGTAACAACTGTGATCTTGCGTACTCAAATATTGGTATTGGGTTCGTCAATTAGGAAGGGTTTGCCAATAGCTGGGCTGGGCTGAGCTGGGCTCTGGTGCTTCCGCATGGGGCTGGGCACGATTATGCAAGTGTTGATGGGCTGGTGGCTTCCTGTTCGTATAATACATACCAATATCAATGCTAATCTCATTGTTCCCAAAGTTGTTTTGCTCGTATTTGCCTTCAGACAATGCACATTTAAATATTAATTTTTCACACAAACACTTCGAGTACACGCAGCGCCGAGTAGATCTAGATGTGAACGTTTATGTATATGTGTATCAGTACGTATCTTATAGATTGTATTTCTTTCAATTAGGCGGCTGCTTCACTAGTTTCTCGTTTTAATTACTTTTTGCGCACAGTTACACTTGCTAAATGCCAGACTGTGGCAAGCAAAAAAAAAAAAAAACAAATGAAAAAAAATTCAGATCACACTCTCAAAGCAAACGGCAAAAAAAGTAACAAGATGCTGGAAAAATGTGGGAAACTTGATCGTTGGGTGCCAGCGCACGACGTTGGTTGTGGCGTTCAAAGCTCGCGCGACTAACTGTGGCTGGCGCTGGCGGAGCGCTTGGTTTTTATGCTCAGCCACAGCAGCAGCCGTCGCCGCCGCAGCAGCAGCGTCTTCATTGCAGCAAGTCCAAGTCACTTGGCCAGTCAGTCAGCCAGCGGGAACGTGCGGAACGAGCAGCAGACGAGTTCACTAGCAATGACACCGCACGCGTGTGTGTGTGTGTGAGTGTGCAAATGTGTGAATGTGTGTGTGCATGAAGGTGTAGGTTGCCAGACGCTGCTGCAACAATAAACAAATGCAATGATACACAAATTTTCAGATTCGTTTCAATGTTAAAATGCTTGTTTTACGTTACACTTTTTGCCAAGTTCTTCAGCCACAAAATGGCTGACATGAAGTCTTAAAGTTGCACATATATGTGCACTACTGTATAGGTATTATACGATGTATAGCTAGCATATGAAAAACCTAGTCTTCAACTCAATAGCTCTCAAGGCGGCCAATGCAACTCAGCTTAAATTACTAAACACAAATGCTGCAGATAACTTTGCTCGATGATACGAGCTGTATCCCTATATGAAATTTGAGTGTTTCTTTTCTTATTGTAGGCTGAATTTAAATTATTAATTGTTTTTAGATGATATACATATCAATAGACTTAGCATGCTGCCAAGCCACTTATTAATAGCAAGGGCCTAAAAGTCAGATCAACTTTGACGAGCTGTCATAAATGTGTTGATCAAAATTTAAATTATAATCATATAATATAGAATTTATTTATGTTCATTCATTTTTTTAATTAAATTTGTTTGTTTTGACTGACTTTTCGTATACTTAATGTAGCCAGACTTTCATGTATAACCCATCTTGCTGCTTTCAAAGAGCACAAATGCGTCTTTTAAGCATTCATACTCATTCATACTGCTTTCAGTAATGTGTAAAGTCTAATTATTCCGCCAGTTAGAGTATTTGCTGCATATGAAATTTATTTATGACAGAAATAAAGTTTCACAGTGAATTAATAATGCATTCTGAAATAGCCCGTGGTATTTGTTAAGCTGCTCTTATCGCATAAAAAGCCATGACTAGAATTGATTGAGTGACCTTGTCTATTATATCCTCCTCCTCTCGTTTTACGAAATTTCTTTTTTAGAAAGAAAAACTATTTGTCATAAAACATTTGTTCGCCCAGTTCAAGTTCAAAGTCATAAAAAACTGGCGCAACGCTTGCTGATGCACGAGATTCAATTTGGGATACCTTTCATTTTAGATGAATACATTTTATGCTTATTATTTTTGGCCATTACGATCTCTATGGCTTGCACAAAGGCAGCCCAGCGACTGACTTCGCGTCACAAAGCGCCACCAAATATAAAGAAAAAAAAAAACAGAAAAAAAGCGACGATCGAAATGTCATTTGCATAAAAACAATTGCGGTGCCAGGGCAGTGCAGATCCGAGCCGCAATCTTCACTCAGCTGCTCCACAAGTAGTGGCAATTTAATTGGCGCATTAAGAGAGATCTGGGATTGGACTAGTGTCTGGGATCGTGGAGATTTGCATTTGGATTTCGGTGCGGCGCCTGGGCTTGTGTGAAAAAAGAAATGGCATAACAAAGACGACTAAATGCAAACATTCAACTGTTTTGTCAGTTTTGTAATCCATTTGGGCCAAACAACATCAGCATCAAAAACAAAACCAGCAACAACGACTTGACGCGATAACGATAATGGCAATAAAATATTTTAAAAGGGTAAAAAGAAAGAGAAAAACTGAAATACATTTAAAAGAAATACGAATATCACGCGCCCCGTCGCAATCAACAATCGCCAATCGCCTGCATTGTTTGAAAGTTTGTGTTTTATCTGCCTTTTTTTCTCTCTCTCTCTATCTTTTCGAGTTTGCGTTTTTAACTAATTTGCTCTGATCGCATCGATAGGCAAATAAACAGCAATTGAGATGTGGGCCAGCTAGTGGGCTGCCCTCTTGCCACATAGCCATAAAGTACACCCCACATGCCACAGCGAGGCAGTCGGTCAGCTGGTGCGAGGCGTCACTATTATTATTATTATTTATTGTGCTTTTACCTCGTTGCCGAAGATGCGTTCAAAGTCGCCGGACCCATATAATAATAATAATATGAAATGTCATAATAATCGGCAATGATAATGCAGCTTACTCGCCCGTCGGCAGAAGGTTAACGTGGGCTTTGTCCATGCAGCTTAAAACGCTTGTCAGCAGCCAAAGGAAGTTGGCTGCCCAATAGCGACTAGTCGTTGCCCTAACTTAAGCTCGATACTAGGCATGGGAATACACGTTTCTCGTATTCGAAATTTATATATAAATTTAGAGAAGCATAAATATCTGGTTATCCAATTCGAGTCGCAAAGGCCCAACGGAGAAGGGTATACAAATAAATACTAATAAAAAGCGTAGTAAATAAAAGGAAAAATAAGTTTTTATTGTACAACGACAACAATCGACCTGCATTCGATTCGATTCGATTCGAAGGTGAGTTCCCTATTATGCTTATGCGCATGCATTTGAATACTATGGAGCATCTGGAGCGAGCCCTTGGGCAGCGCAAGGCCAGCTGGCATACATAGATTGTCCATATTGTCCGGAGGCGTCTACCTACCTGCCTGCCAGGCATCCAAGACTTAAAAAATTTGTTCATGCATTGCTCGCTGTACATCAGCAATGTAAATTCAAATAATTGCGAGCAACCAAATTCGCTCATGAATACTGCGAAAGCTAAACTATGGAAATGGACGCCCATTTAAATTAGTTAGTTTCACTAAATGTCGAACACTTTGTTAAATAAGTAATTCAATTAAGTGCAAATTAGTTAGGTTTTGAAAAGATAATGGCTTAGTTGCGCAGCAAAAAAAACTCGTTTCACTCTTGCCTCTCAGTGCTCTGGTGTGCTGTGCTGTGGACTGTTGAAACCGGGCAATTCAGATGGTAGCTTAAATGCTATTTTGATAGTGAGGAACACTTATATCACATGATTGGAAAGTACATTTACATTTTAAGTGGCCTGCTGTCCACTTAGCTTCGGGCTCTACTTGTTGTACATGCCAATTAGCAAAGAGGACGAGTCTTTGTCTTGTCAGAAAGTCTGCATAGTTACAATTATCTTGTATGGTATCTTATGCTGCGATTTGCTTTAGAATACGATATAGGCTGAGGAAGGGATATATAGTGAAATCAGTTGTATTTGCATTTGAATTTATGAGCAGCGCAAAGAAAGGTGCAGACTCTTTGCTCTTGCTAATTACTTATCGATAACATCGATGAGTCTTGTGTGTTAAAAGCAGGAAATGGCAGAGGTACAAAATCACTGCTAATGTCAGAGTCAGTCCAGTTAACTACCTACTTATTATAAAGATGGTTGTTAAAGAGTTGATGAGCGGAAGCTGGGCAGCTGGAACATCCTCTATCTTCATATATTTTCGGAAATAATTGGTTGGCAGGCAAACCGCAACAGACGATGCAACAATTGGGCCCTCAACAGTGGTGCAGCCAGCAGCCAGTAGGCAGCACTGTGGCAACTTCATTAACAGCCAAAATGCGACCTCTTGATGCCACAGTTTTTGTTGTTGCGCCTTTTAATGCTGGTGCTGGTGGTGGTGGTGCTGCTGCTGCAGTTGGCAGCGAGTGTGCAACGCTTCCTACTTGCATAAATTGCACAGTTGCCGACTTTCAAATATAACAACAAAGCACACTGCCATACAAATCATAATTTTGCAGCATCGCCTCGCAATGATGCGATGCGACGTCGACTGCGACTTGGGTGCAGCTATGCAACTTGGCAGCTTTGATGGCGTCTGCTGATGCGACCGGTGTAATTGTTTGTTATTGGTGGCTCCTCGGCTTATGGACGTGATTACATCAGCAGATCGGGCACATCGTCTTAAAGTCGCGCTAAAGTCACATCTTCCATTTGAATTGTCGTCAGATTCGATTGGCTTCGCCTTGCTTTAAATGGCCTGGACATGGTGCTTGGCGCATGTTATGTGAGCACAGTGCACACAACAGCATACGCTCCTCGAGTTCAACTGTGGCATATGCGAGTGTTAGCTAGACATTCGTCTGCACATTGCGCATTGGAATATGCAAGCTGTGTTCAGATTTGAGAAGCGGAAAGTCCATTTATGATATTTGACTACTGAAGAGTAGCGAAGTTAGTTAGTAACGAAAAGTACTTGGCTTCCACAGAGCTAGCTCATGCCATTCTCATTCAAATCTGTTCCACATTGAACCATTTTCAAAGTGCAAATTTAAAGATATCATTGGCATGATAGGTGCTCTTCGTACTAAAAAAGTAAGCATGGCAGTAAGTTAATATGTGGAATATAACTCTACGGAATCGGATCAAATTTTAAACAACACTTATCTTTGAGTGATATATAAGCAGCACTAAGTTTTTAGCAATTTTCCAAAGTCACCTTTTCATCAAGCAATCAGCGAATTGCACTGTTACAAGAGACTCAAGCGGACCCATCACATCTGCCCACTACACTTATGAGATACCTTCAGCTCGCCTAGCCTAGTTTTATATCTAATCATTCCATACTTAATGCAGCTCGCCACATAGCTACAGCCAAAGTATTTATAAATGCAAACTAAATGCATAAATAAAGTTTTATAGTCTAAAACAAAAAACTTTTCCTTAATATAAATATTCTAATATAATACTAAAAACTGTAAGAAGCATTTCGCCTCTCTTCTACTATCTATATAAATATATACATATATATTTAATTAATTATTGACAAAAATTCATTTCATAACTTTCACTGCGTGCTTTAATAAATAATAAAAACAAATATTATTACAAATAAAAAATAATAATAAAAAAAATCATTTGAGTGCAAACATGCAATCGCTAGATAATACAAGCTAATGTGGCGCCAGCTGCTTGTCCAGAGACTTCTTGACGATGCGACTACGCTCGGACGCAGCTTCCAGCTGAGAGTCTCGCTTGAAGACTCTCAGGCTGGGCACCGCATAGGCCAGCGTATGGCGATGCAGCGGACGCGGCGTTTGGTGCTGCTGATACAGACGCAACACCTCCCAGCTGGGTATGTACGACTCCAGCAACGATTTGGAATCACGTCCGGCGAATAGATCCGGGGTCAGATCTGGCGGCGACGGCCGGAAGGGCTTCGAATAGCTGGCTGCGTACCCAGACGCTGGCCGGCGCGTCGTAATGCTGACAAAGCTGGGCGGATAGGGCAGCGGAATGCGGGTAGCGGACGCATAATTGCGCTGAGCCACAGGGGCATAGGCGAACTGCTTGGACTGCGGCAGCAGTAGCGGAAGAGACACTGGGCTGCCATGGGAACGCAGCGACTGCTGCTGCTGTAAGAAAGCGTACGGTGGTCGCAGTGGATGCGCTACGGGCCTTGGTCTTGGTATGGGGCGTGGCAGCAATGCTGTGGGAGCAGGTAGCGCATTGCCATTCAGATATTGCACGCCATTTAGTTGAAGCTGCAGGTCCAGATCAAAGGGCACAATGGGTTGTAGAAATCGCGTTTGTGTCTTCGTTGCTGCTGTTGTTGTTGGCGTTGCTGCAGTTGAGGCCGTTGGAGGTGAGCTGGCAGCAATAGGTAGAAAGAGAGAGAGAGAAAGTGTGGGTGTGAGAGAGAGAGTAAGCAAGACGTGACTTAACAAGCTGCGTTTATCTAATCTCTGCTACTTATTATGGCAATCGATGTTGCCATTTGTCGGAAGCCAACGGCGGCAACAGTCGTGAGTGAAACTGACCCTTTCAACACCCACCCACAAGCTAACAGCTATCTATCACAAATTGGCCTAACATTAGACTCGCTCTAAAATGTGTCCTTAAGGGCATTCGATTAACACAGTAATTTCCCCTCATTGTCAGCCAATTCGCCAATTCAATTGACAAACAGGCAATTTGGCTGCCGACAAAAGCTGCAAAACCACAATTCAATGGCCACTTCTGTTGTTAGGAGTATCTCGTGGTTCGGTCTTGTTAATGCTGCGGTTTTCTTAAGCCTCTAAATCACTTCCAAAGTCTAACAAAAGAACTATATAAGATCAGCTTTGTAGTATTTTGAAAGTCACCACTAATTGCAGCAAAGCAATGACTTCGATGCTTAGCGGATGCTTGAATCAACATTTCCACATTTATATTGCTGACTCCCCCCCATACAATAAAGCCTTGTATACAAAGAAAGAATAGCCGTCGTAGAAAATATTTCAGCTTCCCTCAACTGTTGCCTTGCAGGGCTAACCAACTCCCAAATCATACTCCAATGAGATTGGTAGAGCTAAGCCATATATCTATATCATCTATATTCATTCTCTATTCGAAATGCTGCAATGAATTTAAAAAACAATCAAGCTCTTTACTTTATCAAAAGTTGAGCTTCATGCCCAAAACTCTGCTAGGTAAAAGCTTTAAGCTTTGTTTGAAAGTTACAAAAGCTTCGAAGCTTACTTGGCATGTAAAGCTTGTGTCTGCACTTAAGCTGGGGCCATGACAAAAGCTTTAAAGCTCAATCTGCTTGCATACTTACACATTGGCGTCTTGTAGCAGCAGAAAGCCGCCTGACAGCTGGTCGGGCAGTGCGTAACCAGCGCTCAGCTGCTGATGCTGCTGCTGCAGCTGGCGCAAGCGTTCCACCTGCTCCAGCTTGGCGGCATCGTGGACGTAGTTGGGCGGCACACTGGCCGCTACGCTGGGATGCCACTCGTAGTGCGTGGGCAGCAGTGGCAGGCGATTGAGATCGAAACTCTGCTCCTGCTCACGCTCCAGATCCTCGAGACTCAGTTGGAGTGGCGTGTTGTCATCGTCGTAGCCATGTGGGCGCTGCAGGGCCGCTTGAGTTGCGGGCCAAACGGCTAGCAGAGTCCAGAGCAGAGCAAGCTGTCTCTGTAGAAGACAAGAAAAGAAGATGTTTAACAGGGGATTCACCAAGCGGATGGAATGGCGCAGGTGTACGCAAGTAATTGTTTGGCTTTGGACTTGTGTTTGCGGTGAAAGGTTTACGCTTTGCTAGCTGCCTTTCGCTTAAATGTGGCCAGTGCCACGCCCACCTGCGGCCAGTGGTGCATTTAATTGGGATTTTATTCGGCTAGCTTGACGAATAATAATAGCAATACATTGTCTGTGAAATTGGCTTCACAGGCGGCCAGCTTTGATAGTGGGGGTGGCCAGCCGGCTAGACGAGCAGCTGGCAAAACGGCACAAGGCCAAGCCAAGAGCCACTGATAAGCTGCGCCTTTCTAAATAGTTGGTCAACGCTAACGGCCATTTGTCACGAAGCACTCAAATGCAACTCCAACTCTAAATGGCCCCGATTGCAACATTCCTGTTGCATTCAAGATTCAACGTGAGACGGTCTCAAATCGAACCGAAAACTGCACTCGTCTCGCCAGCCAAAAAATTGCATTTTGTGCAATACCCAATGATGCCACATTCAAACAAAAAAAAAAACACGAAAAAAAATTATAAAAAAATCCGTTCACAAGACTTTGAAAAACTAGTTGCAATTTTTGGCCAAACGGCTGCACAGCATTCAGTGAGGCGCGCGAAGTGAGCTCCAGCTCCAGTCAGTGCCATCGTGACCATTATCATAGATGCGTGCGCCAGTTTGGCGCTGCTCTCTAATTATTTTGGCCACGGCAGCTGCTAATGATCGCTAGCAGGTCACATGCTCGCCGCTGCGATGCAAATGCAGCTTGATTGATGACAGGCTAGCTAATGGATCTGATGGACTGTCAATTGCCAGCGCTAACGTGCGTAATTTGCGCGCCTTTGTTTGGCCCCTCCAGCGGAAAAGAATCAACAAAAAATCAACAACAAAATAGCCAAAATCAAAAGACTCAAAAGACAAACTGCGCTCTGAGGGCCCTGGCCATCAATCATGCTTCTGTGTCATTCACAAATGTCAGCATGATTACTGGGCGGAATTGCATTGTTGCAGTAGAAGGCGGCTTGAGCTATGCTGAGCTCTTAACTTTTCCAATCGGAGGTTAACCATAATGGAACTCGACAAACATAATTTGGTTGACATCGATGTTTTCGACTGCTAAAGCTACAGCTGATGTCTTTTAATTAGTAAATTATTTAAGCTCTACTTCTGGATCATTTTTTAGATATCTTGGCCATACCTAATAGTTTGAGATTTGCATAGAACTTGAGTATATATTTGCTAGAAGCGATATAATTTAAAACTCTCTTTGGTTCTTCGCAGCACTAAGTCAATAATAATTTTCACATAATTGTTCAATATCACATTTAACTTATATATTTCAAAATTTTGTCTAGAACATATCAGATAAAAGAGAAATCTGTAGAAGCCGAAACTTTCATTTAAAGAACAACTCTATCAATGATGAGTCAACTTAATTCTTTTCCTCTAACACGTAACTCTAAAGTCTAAGGGGCCACTGAAGCAGTTGTAACGAGCTTCTGCTGTTTACGCACCATTTCTGCACTTTGCGCGATTCAAGCTTTAATATACTGCCAAGTCTCTGGGCTTTTTAGCACGTAATCGTAAAAGAAACTCGACCAATCACTTTGGTTATACTTTAAAGCGGATGTTCCTTAACAACCAAAATTAAATTTCCAACGCACTGTCGACATTCACAAAGTAACCAGAAAAAAAAAGCAACGAAAATAAAAAAATAAACAAATACGGCGCAATTTGAAACGAAACCGAAACCAAACAACGTAGCGTAGCAATTGCGACTGCGACAGAGCGAGCCGTTAACGGTGCGTTTTATACCAAGAGCCAACTTGGCTAACACAGAAACGGCCGTGCAGTTCTGCAGGCACAGCCAAAGCCCAACAAGTGGACGCATTGTTGCTGCCTGGCCAAAGCAGAGACAGACAGAGACAGAAAGAGAGGGAGAGGGAGAGGGAGATCGAGAGAGCGCAATAAACGTCTTGCAATGCAGATGGGAGTCGCGACAGCGTTGAAGGATTGCAGCTGAAACCGATCAAACGGAGCCAAGCCCACAAATGGGAAACAAAAGGCGGCTAACAGTGCCAAGTGCGCGCAATTAATTGAAATGGAAAGTTTGGGCCAGCGCAGCCACCGCTCGGAAATTAAAAATTGAAATCATTTCAAATTCGAGCACCGCCCCAAACCTAATAAGCAAAAAAAAGGGGGGCAACACCAACAATATGCAAAGTCAAGCCATCAAAGCTAATTTACGCATTTAAAAGTGTTATAACAGCTACAGACAACATGCAAAGCAGCCATGGGCGGCCCCTCCCCTAGCCCCCAAACAGTCTCCCCTTTCACTACCCCTGCACCTGCTCTGCGACAGAGCAACGAGAGCATCTCGAACATGACCATTAATTGAACTATATTCAAGTAGTTTTTGTTTTTTTTTTTCTTCATATATTTGTTAATGTTATTGTTGGTGTTGTTAACCGTTCACTTCCGCCAAGGCAGTCCAAGACGTACCAAGTGGACCTAATCAGTCCCATCCATATCCAGAGTAGAGCTCACAAATTCCATTGCGATGGCCCCACAAGACGCACTGGGCACGCCGTGGGGCGTCGTCAACACCATTAGAGCTCGAAAGTAAATTGTGGCAGCATATGCAGCATCGATGTGGCATGTAATGCTCATAGATTCAATAACATTTTGGGGTATACCAAAAACCGTTTTACACTCTAATTGAGTAGCTCAGAGTTGAGTTATATATTGGCAGAGTTCAGTTATAATGGCTCGCAGTGTGCTGGACAGAACAAACAGATTCAGATGTGAATAGTATTATGTTTATATATAGTAAAATTCTTCTACTTTTAAATTCTTTTAGATGATAACATTATAAATAAATTCATAACCCACTTAGAACTCTTCTGAAGTTTCTAAGGTTTCGCTCTTAAGTAATATAAATTATTTAAATAAATATTTATATATATTTGAAATTAGCTTTTATAATCTATATAGGGCATTTAAGAGTTGGGTTCGATATTTTGAAATGCCTGTCGGCACTTGGTCCACATAATGCCGCAAGTGAAAGAAGGTCTGCTCGATCGCTGTAATTGAGCGAAAGATGGAGTGGTAATGAAAGCTTCGTGCAAGCTAAGTCCAAGCCAAATGAATTTGTCAAAATGCGACAATTAGACAGCTGAGAGCAAGTATTGGCCCGACTGCGACTCCGACTTCGACTCGGATTTGGAACGCTTGGGGCATCTGAATGACGCAACTTCAAGGTTGACAACGTAATGGCTGCTGACACATGTGTGTGTCTGCAAGTGCATGTGTTGCTCATGTTAACAATTCGACTGTTCCGGGCGGGCGTGAAATTTGTTGTTTCACTTTCACTCAAAGCGGCCCCAAGACAATGGAAATTCATTCTTTTAGGCTGTTGGCTTAAGACGACCTTGCTCCAACTCATCTTAGTTTGTTTGCTTATTTTGTTCCGCCTGTAAGCCAGTTGGGCATGTCGCAACAGACTCTGTAATATTTATAATGCTACATTAATGCCTGGAAGAGTCGGACTATGTAAACATTGATGTGAACCTTAAAATATTGCTGTGTTTTCTATGGCATCAGGTAGAGTTTTTGTTATATGTGAAGAAGACAGATGAAATTGCGAAACTAACAAAACAAGGGCTGATCTAATCTAATCTAATCTCATCTAATTAGATTCTAATTCAATTGTTCAATAAAAACAATTTGATTAGAATTGCTGTTATTATAATGCCTTATCTAAGTCCTATAAAAGTGTTCAATTTATATATTTGGCCAGTTATCAGAGTTCACATATACCAATATGTATGTCCATAAAAATACATTCATTATTCTGTTAAGCCTAAATCTATAAAATAATCGAGTCACTCAGGCTTCGGCATCTCAATGAACTTTATCCCACTATAAATCTTTAATTTAACATGCTTTATTCGGCTTTTGAAAATAACAAGTGTGGAGTGTAAGTGTTAAATATAGAGTTTAAAAGTAATAAAAAAAAAAAACAAATGACTTAAGCAAAAAACTTGAATTAGTACATTATGTTCTATTTCGGATATACATCTGGTTCTGCGGATGCATTGCAGTGCCCGCAGTTGAGCCATCGTGACCACCCGCTGCTGCTGGCAGATACTCGTTCATATTGAGGCTAAATGTAGGCGGAAAGTTCTTCTCCTTTGCCTCGCGATTGATGCGATAGCTGCTGCGATAGGCGGCCACGGGGGAGATGGCACTGGCATAGCCCTGCAGCCCGGCCGCTGAATAGTGTAGGCCCGTGACGCCCGTGTTGCTCGGCATCGCACTAATTTGCACACTCCGTGCACCATAATCGGGTGGGGCGGCCACGTTGGGCGTCAGGGCGGGCAGCGGCGCTTGTATGCCAGCCGCGGCCGTCGACGTCAAGTATGGACTGATGGGCACAATGATGGGACGCGTCGGTATCAGCTGCAGATACTGCACAGTTCCACTGCCATCCTGTAGCGTCTGCGCTGGCAAATACTGCATCAGCATGGGCGTGCTGGGCAGATTGGCAATGGTGGGGCTGTCGCCCAGACTGGCGCTCTGCATGGGCGAAAAGTTTGTTTCCATTTCGGGCAGCTTGTAAGAGGGCTTAAAGCCGACTTCTGTCGGCGGCTGCACCTGTGCCGTGCCCATGTTATCGTAGTTGGTGGCAAAAGCACTTAGCGAGTTGAGATGCGCATCCTGGCCATTAGAGCTCGCTTTGAGTAGCTGCTGCTGCTGCTGCTGCTGCTGCTGCTGTTGCTGTTGCTGCTGCGCTTGAACGCTGTTTGCTGACTTGCTCGATTTGTTGGCTATCTCAGGACTTGATACGGGCAATGCCTGTAGCAAAGGCAGCACAAGCAGCTGCGCGACCAGCAACAAACAATGGAATCGACCTTGGCACAGCATCTGAAATTTGCGTGAGTAAAGCGGGTACAGCGACAGACTATAATTAATAAGATGTTATATTGGACGTTTATATAGAAGTATTGGCCAGTTGGGCGGCTATAAACGTTTTTTTGATAACTGAGTTGATCTGAACCACTAAGACCTTGAAGCCTATATGAAACTTATTGATGAACAATAAAATTATTTTTAAATTTCCTATTGTTAAGACGTATGAAATTCCAACCAAAAACTCCTTCGCTCCATAATAGTAATAATTTGCAAAATATTGTTAATTTATCAATTTGGTAAAAGGTAATTACAGAAATAGTGAGGGAGGGGAAGGGGTGCTTCTGCTTGGTTAATTTAATTTTTGTTTTAGCTGCAACTGGCAATGGGAGCAACGAGGTAATTAGGTAGCCTGTTCTGTTTAAACTTTTGGCCAGGTTAATTGCCATACAAATGGCATAAGCATTACTTAACAAAATTCCATGAATGGGCGTAACAATGTTATTTAAAGTTCACTTTCACTGGCTACGCGCGTTGTCTTGTTGCTTGCTGCTGCTTGCTTTTATTTTTCATTTAATTTTTAGCCTTATAGCAATTATGCTCATTCATATAAGCGCAAATATTTGTTGAAAACAATAATAAAATAAAACAAAACAAAAAAGAAGGGAATAAAAATGACAAAATACAGCAGTAAACGCTTCACCTCTGCTATGATTTTGAGTTAGCTGGGACACACGTTGGCGCGCGTTTGTTTATAAAAGGAAAATTAAAATTGTATTTGATGTTGGCACAACACTTGCACTTGCACTTGCACTTCTGTGGCAGCCCACGACTGTCAGGCGACGCGGTTTGATTAACGTCACGGACGCCAACGGTGCTGCTTATATACCCCAGCTGAGTAGGCGCAGCAGGTGCAGCTGGGGACATGGGGAAGCTGCCAATTTTCCTCAATCGCCATTAAAAGCCGTTTAACTGTAGCATGCCACAAGCTGCAGCCAAAAGCTGTTTGCTACTTACCGGCTATTGCATGTTTTCTGGTGCTGTGGCTGCTGCTGGTGTGGAAATCAAAACATTATCACAGCTGCCCATTCTGTGCGCATTGTTGCATGTGCAGCATAGCTCAGTTTAAGTCGTGTTCAAGTCAAGTTCAAGTTTAACGCGCGTATAGCTCCAGCTCCAGCTGTGCATACTCTCTGCAAACATTCCACAACTTTCATTATTCATTTTCGCAATAATTTATACGCGTAAAATGTGATCAGCAGATGGCAGTCCAAGCTTTATTGAAATCTCCAAAATAATATTTAGATAAATTCATCTCAATTATGACAGATTTATCGCAGCGCTTTACTCACTTCGGTTGCTACACATTTGTAGCGTATCTGGCAGTGCGGCAAGCTCGACGGCTGCATTCTGTTTGCTTTTGGTTTTTGGTTCCGTCTTCCGAAACACGACGAGAGGAGAAGTGCAGCAGCCCACAATTAGGCGCTTGCTGCGGATGTTTTCCGCATTGCCTCCTGGCCATGATACGCTCAAACGGGTTTCTTTGTGGCAGCAACCGAGCACCGGTTGGCTTAAAGCTAAAGCTAACAAAAATAGCTTTTCCAATTTGGTTTACTAGCTGCTTGGTTATAGCAGTGGCAGCACAGAAAAAAAACCACCTTGCAAGGTCGCAAGAAAACTACATTAGCTCTTAAAGCAAGCTACGCCAATGGGCCAAGCGGAAATTCTGAACTAGCTCGAAGCTGCTGAATGGTGGCGAGCAAATTGTGATAACTGTTTTGCAGCAGATGAACAGGAACTGTGTTCGTGAAACAGGTCTTTCAACCATAGCTGACCCAAGTCAAACAGATCAATTGTGGTTGATTTGATTTATTTTATTTTACAATTTTGATTTCACAATCTTCCACTATTGCATGGGTATGTAGTCAGCAGTGTAGCTCAATCAAATTTTTGGCTCAATTATTTGCATGCCTAGCGTCAAACTGAACTAAGAGGCTCAGCTGGCAAAGCTTTGCATGCTGCCTTGGCAACGGAGCGCGCTGTTGTGCTGCATGTTCGGTGTCCCGAAGGCCATGTTGTAAATATTGCGTTTGACGGAAAGTGAAACACTTGTCTGCCAGTTGGTAAAGTCAAGGCGCAGCCGGGAGGGCAGCGCTGTGGCCCACACTGTGAACCAGAGCAGGCAGGCACCGATAATGCTCGTGGTAATACCCAGCAGCCAGTACTCGCAGTTGGCAAAGGTGCACTCCTCTGTGACTAGCTGTTGCAGTATGCCGACAATAGCGCAGTGGCAGAGCGATTCGATGCGACACCACAGCTTGGTCAGCATCAGGTCCAGCGTCAGGAGGCAGACGCCCATCTCGAGGGTGAGGCGGCACAGAGATGAACAGTTGCAGCCCCATCGCGGAAAAATATGCACCACCTGCAGAACTGCCCCAATGCTGGCCACGAACAGCCAGCTGCCGAGCAGGGGCGCCGGGGAGCAGCGGGCTAGAAGGAAGTAGTACGAGATGCCCATGACCGAGTGCAAAAGTATGGCCATGGTTACTGCTGATAGCGAGAGTCGCTCCATTGTTGGATTGTCCTTGCTACAACAAACTCGACTCACTCTTCCTCTCACGCTCACCCTCCTTCGCTCTGTCTCCGTGTGTGTTGGGCCAGCTCCTTGGTTTAAATTTTGATTGAGCTAACAGATCTACACATAATACATAATAATACACGTCTAACTGGCTTTAGAGTCATGGCATTGTTTTTCCTCATTTCGTACACTTTGATTAGTCGACAGTTTACTTTCATTTTTATGCCACACAGCTCAAAGCTCAAACTTTGGATCCAGCTCAATTCGAATTTAAGTCGCGTTCGTTGCATACTTTCCGCTGTATGAACAAATTGTTTTTAGCTATTTATCAGTAAAGCTGACACGATATTTGCAGGGCATATAATTAGCTGATAAATGATTATTTTTCATATTAAATGTTTCAATTTAGGCCAAATACTTGATGATGGCTAAATATCAAATTGCATACTTTGCGGCGCATGCATTAAAAGCTCTAAGCCGACATGCATATTTACCAGGAAGCTGATCAGGCAGACTGGCATTAATATCCCAAGCTGTGCCTTCCACCTACAGTGTCTCTGCAGAATGTGCACAATAGTTGGCTAGGCAGTCAGGCTAACCAGATAGACAACAATGCAATCGCAAGATAATAAATAATAGCAAGGAAATGGCATTTACTTTGTGATAACTTTATCGAGAGCTATAAATATTTTATTACCCTAATTACGGCTAACTGCAAATCGCATTTTAATTGTTGCAATAGCTAACTGCTGCAACCGCTAGGTAATAAATGGCCACAGCTACGCTGGAGCATTTGGTCAAATGAAATTTCTTAGCAGCATATTGCAGACTCCGCCTCCTCGACGGCTTTGCTGTCAAGTAATTCGTCAAGATGCTTTGTGCTCGCATCCACGTGCTTTGCTATCTAGTTAACTGTGCGTCTGCCTGCCTGGCTATCTGTCTGTCTAGCTGGCTGTCTATCTGTCTGTCTGTCCTCCTTGGGTGCCTTTTATGTCAACTGCATTTTTCGCTGCTGTTGCCGTATTTCTTGTTGTGCATTTTTTTTGTACTGGTTTAAGCCACTTAATGGATTTATTTCCTTTTTTTGGCTTAGATGCGGGCGCTGAAGTTGAAAGCGCTATTCACGCACAGTTTTCTTGCAGCTTCCATTCACAAAGACTTGCAATTCATCAAATCTCGTTAGCCTCGGCTTTTATAGAATATCTTCAGATGCTTTTGCTATTATTTTCGGGTTTTTTCCTTCTATGGCGAGCACTTTATTCGAGTGAAAAGGCGCCACGCCCAGCAGCAGCAGTTGTAGGGCGTTCCTCTAGATATATGTATGTGTATGTCTAATGCGAGTGCAGCTGCACAGCGTCCGTCGACTGCCTTTTTAAAGCTAAAGGGCGTAGCTTAAGGTACCTATCTTGCCAGCAACTCAGCCAACTGACAGCTGAAATGCAGTCTAACAAATGTGCTTCGAATAACCAATATCAATTTGTGGCCATAAGCGAAACACATCGCTAACAAAGGGTACTGTATGATTGATGAATTCCCTCCGGCAGGCGAATCCGTGCAATGATTACCTATAAGACTTCAGTGCAGTTCAGCGCGTAGACAAATAACTTTTATTAGTGCCAAATAATTATCGATTTATGACCTTGAACATAGTCAATTAACAAACTGAAGTCATACGAAATCTTTATTGGAATGTCATATAAAATGTGGATTGCATCAGTGTATCCGAAAAGCGCTTATCGATAAGATATGACAGAATTGCCGCAATCAGCTCTGTACTCAGGATAAAGTGAAGTTTTTTTTTGGGTAATTCCATTAGATCGATTGCGATGGCTTGAAATATATGTAGGTATATATTATGGCAGCAAGTTTTAAGTAATCCACTTCGTTTACTAATTTCAACTGCTACCAGATGGCCACTCATTTGGGTAAAAGGCAAACACTGCGCACCCAAAGTGCATTCAATTAACAATTTTCGGGCTGCGAGTGGTGCAAAAGTTTGGCCCACTGCGTGGATAGCGTTTTGTGGCAGGCTTTTAATCAAAAACTTGCAACCAAGTGCCAGACAAGTTTTTCGTCTAAGTTTGCCACAGCGCGCTGGCAAAACTTCTCAGATTGTGACGTCTACAAAAGTCAAATCGTGCTGTGCCGCTCACATGCTGGCAGCAATCAGTCTGACTTTAGCCAAGAAAAAAGTCAGCTGAGCTCTGACATCTAGCATCACGCACACCCAATGCCCTACGCCAAATAGTATCAGCCCCTAATATACTAATATGAGTTGGTAGATAAATGAACTACTTTCTCATCTTGTTTACAAAAAACATTTCAATTAATATAGAATATTTTCGCTCTTTTGAAAAAGCATTGCAACACTCGAGGCAACTGGAAAGAAGTTTCTGGTTGGATTGCTGGCAACAATAGGCGCATAAATTCAGTCTCTATGCTAAGCAGTTAAGCAGTGCAAATTCCATAATATCCAGAGCTAAAGTGTATAAACAGATGGAGACTTGGCCAATGCCATGAACTGAATGCAGTAAATTGCCTGGCTGCAAATTCAAAGCGTGCCCAACCTCTACCTCTGGCTACCTTTTACGCCCGCATGCTGCAAAGTTGGCCCTGGCACTTGGGCAGAGTTCGAATGAAAGCAAAAATGCAGCAGCGCCACGCCCGGCCCGCCCACTGTTTACGTAACACAGTCGACGGCAACATCCCTGCCATTTAGCAAAAGTAATTAAGCGTCGATGGCTTTCATTTGTGTTACTTTTCTGGGCAATTAAGGCAAAAAGTTTGCAGTTTTGCAGTGCGGCGTAAAATTTTCATAGTTAATTGTAGCCCATAAGCCCGAGCAGATCCAGCTCCAGCTCCAGTGCCAGCTTCAACGACAGCTCCTGCTCGTGCAGCCGGCCTGAGCGCTAGCTATGAGGTCGAAGTGTCTGTGTGTGTGTGTGTGTATGTGCCAATGTTCGCGTCAATCGTCTGGGCATAAAACTTTTCCACTCGCTGGCAAGTGGTAAATGTTGTAGTTGTTGCCCCACGTATTTTCCATGGCACTAAAATCGATTGTGTGGTTGTTTTTAATGGCGCCGCAGCTCATCATCAGCCGCAACAGCCACAGGTGTCTTACAATACCCGTACCAAGGTGTCAAAACGTTCATTGCTTCAATGTAATATGAAAAGTGTCTATCAAAACTTGATTGCAAATTGAATAAAACATATTTCATTTGTTATACCCGGTAAAGGGGAATGGAGTACTGATTTGAGCTGATCGCAGATAGTGTCTCGTATATAGATAGAGAGCAGCACAGTAATCTCTACATTTATCGAGCAAATAGGAAGACAGATAAGCAGTACAATGACAAATATAACAAACACATCATACTACATATTGCGGAGGAAGTCAATTCGATTACAAGGCTTACCAACTATCATTACCTTTAACATTTTGATAACTGTTGGGAAACCGCAAATATGCTGCTGTAGCGGCTCATTGAGCGACCAGGTTAGAGCCAATATAATGCCGATAGACAAATACGCGCATTGTATGGAGGCTAAGCCCTGTTGAGTTTCTCCATATTTTATGGGTACTCGGGTAATTTACATTGCATTTATGCGATTACCGCATCAACCGAAAGTAACTTCAGTTTTCTCGCTCGCTAACCGTATCCGGGGCATACAGCCACCGGCAGCAACGGAGACAGCTACAGCCACGGCAGCAACAGCATCATCAACATCAACAGTTGTGGCAGCAGCAACAATTTGCCCACTTGATGCACCCACGCCATGTCAGATCTCAACCCTTCGCACGAGCAACGCGATATGCAAAAAATGTTTCTCATTAAAAAGTTGTTTCACAATTTTATTATCCGCATGTCGCTGTTCTGGCGTCAACCGTGGACCGTGGTCGCTTTGCAGGTATGCCGCCATTGTGACAAGCCCTGGTGACAATGTCAATAAAGCAAACTTCGGACCTCGCAAAAAACGTTAATCCCAAGCGAACAACCTCCCCGCCACCCCACACCCACATCAGCAGTAGCAGCAGAAGCGACGTCATCAAATTATTTTTAAATTACTTGTAAAAATAGGGCAGCGAAAAAGTTATAATAGCGCACAGAACATAAGAAATAAAGCAAGGGAAGCAGATGTCGACCGACTTGCAAGTACCCTTTAGTTTTATTACACGAAGATAGGCAGATTTTCACAAATATTTAACGAGTTCCTGAAATGTGAAAAGGCAAGGAATATGGATTATGAAATATTCTTGTTTCATCTCCCGCGTTTTAGGTTTTGATTAAAGTTTTTTCTATATTTTTGTTTTTACAATTTATTTTATAATATATAAAATTTTATAATGTATAGGATAAATTTTATTATAATTTTTATACCCTGATCCCATTAAAAGTTTGCAATGTGCAAATGTATGTAACAAGCAGAAGGAGACATGCCAGGCCCCATAAAGTATATATATTCTTGATCAGGACGAGTCAATTGAGCCCTGTCCGTTCGTCTGTATGTTCATCTGTCTGTCCGTAGGTGTGAACGCGTTTATCTCATCATCTATAAGAGCTAGACACTTGTGTTTTTTTGTATATATTATATATTCGATAATTGTTCCTACGTATATTTTATAGAATTTTGATTTTCGTTATATTTTCGATACCGGCTGCAAATTTCCCAAAAATCTTTCAAATTTAAGTTCAGTTGCAAATATGGCCAATAAGTAAAGGTTCCATTTCCACCAAGTCAACAGAATATATAGACCATAAAAATCATAAAAATCCATTAAGTAAAACAGAAGTTTTTAAACAGAACGTTTGGCCAATTTGATCAAGCACAGACACAAGCAGCGACAAGCGTGCGTATATTTTCTATACATTTAAATGCGTGTATTCTTTTCTACTCAAAGAATCAAAATTGCTATTGAATTGGGCTTGAATTGTTGTACAAACAGTGCAGTGGTGGTGTTGGTGTGCGACAATGTCTGGGTTTTGTTTTCTTATTTTATTTTATACAATTTTTTTAAACATTTTTATTATATTTTTTATAAACCATTTTTATTATTTATGAATTTTCACTTTTGTAAACAAGAATTCAATGTCGAAAACGCTACTATTTTTCATGCGGTTCATGAGTTTCAGCCAACATTAATTTATTTATTCTATTATTCACTGAAAATATAAAAAACTGGCTAGAACTATTTGGGTTCATTAATATTTGTAAGTATTATCTGAGCCCCTTGGCTAATCAGTCACGCACTTATCAGCACTTTAATCGCCCGAAGGTAGCCAATAGCAATCAATTTACGGGAGAGTTAAAATAAGGAAAGAGAAAAGAGCGTAGTCCATAGAGAAGCAGCTCAAGTTATTTCCTAAAAATATAACATTGAAGGTATTAGTCATGTAATTCCTCTAAAGCAGTCTCGTCATCAGCTGCGCCGCAGACCACTGCAAAACTATACAGTATCTACACACAAGAGAAAATGAAAACAGCAACGTGTTTCAAATAAGTTTTAAAAGCAATACCATGTTCTAAACACATATATAATATATATTTTAACGATGCATTTGCTTTTGCACATGTCGCCAAGAACCGAACGCTAGAATGAGGTCAAACGAATGCAGCGCAGGTTTTATGCATATGTTACCAATACGATAGCGATTGCTTAAATATAATATAACATTAATTATTAAATAGCAGACAGCAATTTGCTGTATGTGCCCTGTTCATTTTGCAATTAGTGTTTGATTGATGTGAATGATATCTTTACCAGATTGCACAAAATTCCCGATAAATTGAAATTTCCGATAAGCTTCGATACGTACGACACGAATCACACTGAGATATAACTTTATGTCTATTGTCCACATTTGAATTGAGTTAGCTGAAATCAATACAATATAATATAATTTGCTTATTCATATCGATGATTGTAATACTTTCAATGGGGCAAATTTGAATTAAAATAGTTTAAGAGAAAGAGAATTAAAAAGAAATTTACAAAATTCATTTTTGCCCAATATCCAACACAATGCTAATGAGGGCGAATTAACGGCAGTTAGAATAATGCTGATAACAACTCGGGCAGTTCTATTCAACAGCAGGAGACATTTCGTAGCTAGGTGTTTCGTTAACTTGTATAGATAAAGCGGACGATTGCCGGGCTCGACGTTAGGCGTTATAACCGCCGCAATTAGTTTGGCCGCAATGACAACAAGAGGTAGAAGTTGTTTCGTCAAGCTGACGGTGCTTGCGGTGTTTGTGATATTTATGCTGTTGCTGCTGCTGAGTTCCCTGCACAGCAGGGATTTGGACTTGCGGCAGCATCTCGAAACGGATGTGGAACGGGCGCTGCGAGCGAAACTGTTGTCGCCGCTGGCGCACCCAAGCGAGACTATCGAGGAGCCGCTTGATGAGGAACTGGAGCGGCAGCTGGAACACGAGCTGCCCGAGGTGGACTATGGCTTCTGGACACACTATGCAAAGCCGCAAAAATATCGCAAAAATAACACATGCGCCCGGTATCCAGATCCACTGGAGCTGCAGCTCCACAACACCTATTGGCAGACGTTTACTAATGCGAACGTGACGTTTCGCTTGTATGCCGCCTACATGGATATGCGTCGGGGCGTCAAGCTGCCATTGGGTGTGGTGCGCATTCTGGCCACGGCAAATCAAATCAAGTCCGAGTTCCCGCCCACGCACTGCCAGCTGTGGTATGCCGGCCACAAGGAGCCCGTTATGACGCAGGTCAGCGAGTTTTTGAGCGTGTGGATTTACGACTGGGGCCACGTGCCGCTGCTCAGCTATCCGCATCTGCTCAGCTGCCCGGTGCCAAAAACTCTGTTCCATGCCACGCCACGTATCGTCTCGCTTGTCAGCAAGAGTTGTGACAGCGCCACCAACTCGCTACGCGTGCACTATGATCGCTCTCCAGTTGCGAATGTCACCGTCAAGCCGAGCTCCAGCTCCCGTCTGCAGGTCAACTCCAGCTCCCAGACCTACTCAAAGTCCAGCTCCATCGCTAGCCCCAGTGCTACGTCTATTAGCAATGCTACCGTAAAGTTAAACTTTGGCGTCTGTGTTAAGGCTTTCGATTTTCCGTACGTGGATCTCTCGGCTCGCCTGATCGAGTGGTTCGAACTGCAGCGCCTGTTGGGTGCCACGCGCATCTACGCCTACATTTACGACGTGCATCCGGCGGTGCAGCGGGTATTGGATTACTACCAACGCATCGATTTCCTCGAGCTTCGTCCCCTAACGATGGCCAACGGCATGCCACGTCTACGTCACTATCAGCACCAGCTGCTGCAGCATCGTCGCCTAATTAAACGGCTCAACGAGCTGATACCCTACAATGACTGCTTCTATCGGAATATGTATCGCCACGACTATATGCTGAATGTGGACATCGATGAGGTGATAATGCCATTGGGCACTCTAAACAGTTGGCAAGATGTTATCGATGTCGACGAGATTGAAACGAAAAGGCGTTGCCCGAACGGCCATGTCTCGCTGTGTTTCATCAATACGTACTTCAGCAAGGTGGTGCCCGAGGCGCAAAACCACGAGCAGCTGGAGGCCGATCAGCTTTATGTGCTGCAGCACACATTGCGCTATCGAAACTATTCGCTGCCCAATCGGGCAACCAAGTGCTTTCACAACACTCGCTTCTCGGTGACTCTGCACAATCATTTCACGCTCAAGTGGCTGCCTGGCGGCTGCATGCAGCGCACTCTGAGCACTCAGCTGGCCCAGATGCAGCACTATCGCGAGCCAGATCAGAAGTACGAGCTGTCCGATCTGGTCGAGGATCGCAGCGTTTGGAAGTATGCCACAGAGCTGCGTGCAGCTGTGGAAAATGCGTGGCTGCATCTAAACGATGTTCAGGAGCAAGATACCAATGTGGAGGACCAGAATACGCTAGAGGAGCTGCCAGAGCAGGAAACAGCTCTAGAGCAGGCTCAAGAGCAGCACCAAGTACTGGAGCAAACGCATACAGCAAATGCTACAAATTAATTCTTAATTCGAATATGTTAAGGGCTTTTTTTTCTTAGTAGTTACGAACATATATGTATATATATATTTTTTTACGAGGGACAACTGTGCTGCCTACGCATGTGCTTATATTGCTAATTATTTTTAATGATAATATTAATTAAACTTATTTCTCTGAAATATACTCAAAAGCAATGGCAAGTATAAGCGTATCTGCAAGAAACTGTGTTAAGTGCCACTTCAAGCTTTATCGAACTCTTTTCAATGTATTTTTAGTCTCTAGAATAATTTAATATTTACCGCCTTAAAATATTTATCTATGGAGTGGCAAGTCAAGGCAAGAGCTGGAGCTTACTGCTTATAGAGAGAAGATAGAAGATAGAAGATAGAAGATAGAAGATAGAAGATAGAAGATAGAAGATAGAAGATAGAAGATAGAAGATAGAAGATAGAAGATAGAAGATAGAAGATAGAAGATAGAAGATAGAAGATAGAAGATAGAAGATAGAAGATAGAAGATAGAAGATAGAAGATAGAAGATAGAAGATAGAAGATAGAAGATAGAAGATAGAAGATAGAAGATAGAAGATAGAAGATAGAAGATAGAAGATAGAAGATAGAAGATAGAAGATAGAAGAAGGAAGGTGAAAGATGGAATATAGAAGAAGGAAGGTGGAAGATGGAAAATGGAATACAGAACGATAGTGCCTTGTGTATATATATTTGATATTTTATCTATAATATTTTTATATTTATAAGAGTTCACATCAGATGATAGTCACATGGACTGTGTTTTCCCATTAACACTGTGAGTGACGCCTCTTGAATATTAGCACACCTAAAGGTATGAAATATGGATCGATTATCGCTTAAGTATATGCCAGCTCGTCAGAGCGCAGTCAATAACTTATCAGATATACCTAGTCTTTAATCACTCAAAGGGGTATATTGTACCGAGCGGTCATTATACTTAGACGTCGTCAGCTGTGTGGCATTTTTATTTAATTTAAGTGAGCCGCACAAAAGTATGCAACAATTGGTTGAATGCATGACGCAGTTGTTTCTTATCTGTCGGCCTCAGTGCTGCTCTAATGGCTCGGCTGTTGAAGTTGAAGTTGAAAATTTACTGAATCACCAACTAGATCAACCTTACGAGTTTGACTTAATTCGGAATTATTGCACGAGTCGAATGAGCAGCACTCTATTGAGTAATCGTAGTTTGATGATTTGGATTCCGAAAATAAATGTGCTGCGATACATTTGAAGATTTGATAAGAAAAAACCCTAACTGAGTCCATGAATTATTTATATATATCAAATATGTATTTATGTCTGACATTTCTGTTATATTTGCTGATGATTAGGCGTTCGTTCGATCACGTCTATTATGCCTCAGATTGCTTACAAGTCTGGAATATTAATGGCATTCCTTCGAAGGGTAGATGTTGGCTCACATATCGTAATTGTTTGTTTATTATAGGCAATAAATAAAGTTGTCATTAAATTACAAAGTACCGTATATAAGCACTCAAACAAAAAAAAAAATTGATTACAAAATACTTGCCGGAAACGTTATAACTACGCTCATTATTGCAGATAAGAAAAAAAAAATAATTATATATATTAATGATATATATGGAAATAAGGAATACTTTAAACATTTATCAACTCTAACGCAATTCTGGGCATGATGAATTCTAAATGCTAGTCTAGTTACGCAGCAAGAAGGCGCTCAGCGTCAGGGCCAAGGTGCCGCCCAGGGTCGTGACTAGTGTGGCGGCCCCGCCGCCAGTGTTATTGCCGCTGGCCAACAGAATGGGACGCTCGTTGGCACGGGCATCCATCCACGCCTTGCAGTCGGTCTCGTTCTTCACGAAGCGAAAGATCGACTGGACAATGTTGGCGGGCGTGATTTCAGCGCACTGTTCCAGATGATGCAGCACACAGCTCTCGAAGCTCTGCAGGTCGACACAGTGCGTGGGCGAGAAGAGCAGCTCGGGGCGGCTCATCAGATCGGGCACTTGGCCATCCTTGGGTATATACTGATGGAATGATCTGTTCAGGCAGTTGCTGATGCTCTCTTTGTTGGCCTCCAGGCACTCGGGGCCCTGCTCGGCAACAAATAGCGCAATCTGATCGCCACCACGAGAGCAGGCAAAGTTCAGCAGGGAAGCGCCCAGCCGCATCATGGTTGCCTGCTGACGCAGCTCCTCGGCGCTCAAGCAGGGCTTAACCTTGTCATTGAATTCGCGCACACAACCCTCGGCCTCGGGCGCACGCTTGCAGTACTTGTGGAAGACGGTGTCCAGTTCGCCAATCGGGCGAGCTTTTTCCATCTCTTCCTGCAGGGCCGTCAGATTGGCCAGCCCGCTCAGGCAGGCGCTCAGCTTGCCGGCAGCATCCTCGATATCCTTGTATAGCGTTGCATTATCTGTGCCAGTCACCTTCTTGCACTTCTCGCGGTAAACGCGCTTAACATCATCTGTGCATGGCAAAAAGCAATTGTCAAATAATTAATTATTACCTCTTCGTTATGTCACCGGCTCGCCGGCTCACAGGGACACTTACCCATGCTGACGTTCGTGTTGCGAAACTCTGGCGGCAGAAACTGCGCCGAGACGCTCTCCAGCTGACTCGAGGTCAGCTTCTGTGGACTAGGACTGGCGCGCACCTCCAGCAACAGGGCGCCCAAGGCGGCCAACAGGCACACTGCGATCAGAGCGTATTTGTTCATATCGGCTACGGCAGTGAGTCGATTTGAGTATGCGATCAGTTAGTTAATCTATCTATGCTGTTGTGGCTTCCGTGCCTCCGTACAGCGCGCGTGGCTACGAGTGAATGAGAGCGGCTAGCGGCTGTCGTTCAAAAGCGCGAGCAACTGCGATTCGATTGTGTACAGTGGAGCGTGGCGTTCCAAGCGCTGTGCGAAATAACTACAATTGCTGATTGCCGGCGGTATAACTATAACTATTTGGCAGTTGCAAGTCTTGCCGATAAGAGCGCTTGTGCCTTATGTATCCAAAATATTTGCAAGTATTCTCTATCGATAAGTTTTCGCGTTCATCGATAACTGGTCACTTTCATTTTGTCGATCATTCTCTAATTGGATCACTTCATATTTATGATATATATATATATATATATATATATATATATATATATATATATATATATATATATATATGTATATATATATATATAATTAAGCGTTTTACTTATCAGTAACGATATGATAATACTACAGAGCTCCTTGGGACACTGTGCCGTGCCGTTGGCGGCATTTCGAGCAGCTCTAATCAGCACAGTGACATAATTTACGTTTCGTTCGCTGCAAATTTTGCAACATTGGCCCAGGTGGGCAAAGGGTAATGTCGTCTGACGACTGATTTACAGGGAATTAGCACTCTCTAAGGTACATATCTACGCTGATATGTGCCGATATATGCATACATATGCATGTGTATCGTGTGTGTGTTTATGTACTTGATTTTTCCATAAGTTGTTCGCTTATCTTATCTGCTGGCTGTCCATAAAGTTTATTGCATTATCGATGTATATAGCCGAATCGTTTAGTAACAGCAGCGGAATGCTTTAAAATAAACTGATAATTGATAACTGATAACTGATAACTGATTATCAATCAGGCACAGTCGCATCAGCGGCCTCGCGCGTTCGCTTGCAGCGCCAGCGAAATTTTCATACATTTTCCATGCTCAATGCTCAATTTCATGCAATTGTTGATCTAAAGTTTCACAGTTCACTATAATTGCTGTTTATGCTACCTTTTTGTTATTGTTGTTTTCTTGTTTTATTTTCATTTTCAGCTGTTTTTGTGTTATTTAATACGACTTAGGTATTTCTTAATAATTTTACTACGAGAGCAATTACTGCTGTTCGCAGCGGTTTTGCCAGCAAACACTTAAACCGAACTTGAACATAGAGAGTGAGACAGACAGAGAGAGAGAGAGAGAGAGAGAGAGAGAGGGAAAAGCATGAAAAACGATAAGTCTAGATAAACCACGTACGACGTAAAAATTAAGTATTTTTTTTGCGACTGTGTTGATCTCTTAGTGTAACTACACTTTAGATCCAGTAGAGCCTCATCCATTGCGCAGTCGAAAATGCTAGTTTTAATAATATACGTCAAGAGTAGCATCAATCATTTTAATCTATATATCAGAATAAGTCTGATATTGCTTAACCTTTTACCCACCGTAGGCCAATTATAAAAGTTATGCATCAATCACATCTAGTTATAATAATGTACTATTAGCTTGTGAACTGAGCAAGTCAAGCTTGAGTCCAATTAGCCGATCTTAAGTGCATATTTTATTTATAAGTTGTATGCTATATATATTAATATTCACATGTGTCCATATGAAGCTCTGTGTGATGTGCGAGCTCAGTGCAAAAGCTCAAGTTCATGTACGGAAACCGGTTGGACCAAGCGACAAAGCGCAAACTAAACGACATTCAACGTTTTACAGGCGATCAAAGTTCGCCGGCCACAGTCAGAGGAGTTGCTACGTAATGACTGCGATAAGCATTATCGCCCTTTATCTACATGAATGAATAGAAGCGATCGGGATGTGTGAAACGGGAAATGGGTTGCGGAATGCCTCCAGAGCAAAGTACAAACAACTAATGGCAGCTCACTGGCTTGAGGCACTAGAGAGCTTTGTTGATTTCAGATCTGATGCATTCATTAATCGGTGGCCAAGGGTATAAGCTCGGACATCAATCGAGACGTCTCTGAGCGCGAGAGCGAAGGGAAGCGAAAGCAAATGGCAGTGGGGCAGTGTGTTATAATATTTATTTGCAATAGCAGATAGCTACGTAGCTCGAAGACATTATAATCTTAAGCTGTAGCCATGGCGTCTGTTCTGTTCTCTGAGAACTTAGTAGCTGTCATTTAATTAGCCAATACGCAATACGCATGGGACGCTCTTACAACAATTACATCAGTTATATGATTCATTATCTGACAACAAACATAAATTTAGTTTAGATATAGCTCAAAAGTCGAATAACATTTAATCTTATCAAAGCACAGATATGTTTTCTGCGCAAACAAACAGAATTGACAGCTGCGACTGAGTGCGTCGGGTGTGTCCGACTGGCGCATGAAGACTTTTTACATATATCTGACTGACATATCTGCATACACTTGATATGTGAACAACGAACATGTAATTGTGTCTAGGGGTTCTTATGACAAAAATGAGTACTTTAATATGTCTGTTAGCAAATTGTTATTGAAAGCAGCCAACTAACATGGTTGGTACAAATTCATTCGGAAAGAATTACAATTTAAAACCAATCAACAACTCGTACATGATATATATATTTATCATTCGTTTGTTTTGTTGTGTAGCTGCATGACGAATGACGCTTAGAGAAACTCAATTTTATTTTATTTATATTTTTGGCATTCATGTGAATCAGCTTAGGGTATAGTTACTTATATGAAAAAACTTTGCGAATTGTTTTCGGTTCAGTCTATGCTATTAGTCATCAAACTCTTTTTCTTACATGCGCACACACACACGCACACACACACACGCATGCATGGAGCATGCACGCTCTCCCACTCATTCGTGCTCATGTTGTTTCTCTCTGATTAGTATCTGGTTGCTGGCACACAAAACACGCATAGCATACTTTTAGGGGAAGCTGAAACGGATACACACACCGCGGAAATGCCGCTGGCGTATGGCTCACATTGTGTATACACCGCGTATTGGCCCAGTTTGTAGATTTGTTATGAATGGGAACATTGCATTGCCGTTGCCGCTCTATAAGCAGCTCACTCGCCGGCTCTCCTAATTGTGAGCTGGCAAGAAGCTAAATACTGTATATTTGCAAATTCAGCTTTGAGGCATACACACAAGTGCACAACTGAACAGCGAGAGTGCAGGTGATGATTAAATTTCTGAATTTATATGCTGCCAATGCCAGCAGCTGCACAGCTTGCATGTAATCAGTGTGTGAGGGCTTGGCTATATCACAGAAAGCATGAAGCCGACTGTCTTTGTGCCTGTTGTGTGTGTGCTTTACTTTCCAATTAGGTTAACAAACATAATTAACAAATTCATGAGTTATTAACAAGGCTAACTAATACTAATACTAATTCTAATACTAATACTAATACTAATACTAATACTAATACTAATACTAATACTAATACTAATACTAATACTAATACTAATACTAATACTAATACTAATACTAATACTAATACTAATACTAATACTAATACTAATACTAATACTAATACTAATACTAATACTAATACTAATACTAATACTAATACTAATACTAATACTAATACTAATACTAATACTAATACGAATACTAATACTAATACTAATACTAATACTAATACTAATACTAATACTAATACTAATACTAATAATAATAATAATAATACGAACAGTAATAATATGAATAGAAAAGCAAATGATTAAGAGCTTGTTTGCTGGCCTGGGAGTGACCGTGGGCGTGCCAGCATACCTCCTTCAACAACAACAACAACAACATGGAGCATGGTATGTTTTTAAATGAAATTAAGCTAATTTAGGAAGCTGCCAACGTGTCGTCGTGCCCTTCCTGGCCGGAACCTGTCGACATACTCGTCCTGACCGTAGTTTAATTCAATGCAGGGCCACAGCACACATCACGACCTCATCTGCGCGAACGTATCCCAGTGTGTGTGCGTGTGTGTGTGGGCTGTCTGTCTGTTAGCTATTTGAAGCACATGCTACCTGTCCGTGCGTTGGCTCGTTCGCTCGTTTGTCCGCCCGTGCTGGTCTGTGTATTGTAATTTATTATCCTGCATGGCAAAAGGGATTTTCATCAATTAATCATGCTGACGATTCAGCTGCAGTTGGACAACCAGAACAACACACTGCTGGCCTCACATTAAATCGGCCGAGAGTTGACCCAAAGATGAGTCTATGTATGTTCCGTAGCTACGTACGAAATCCGCCCGTAGTTAAATTACGGCTATTAACTCTTTTATCTTATTTACGTTCAATATTTGAGCATTTTAGAGCAATGCTGATGTTGGTCTGCAACTCATTAAGATGGCTATCTCATTTAGGCAAGACTTCCGCCTGCTAGATATTAAATAGATGTTGATGAGCGTACACGGTTACCCACTGCATAAACTTCTTTTCATATAAATATATATATATGTATTTTAAGACTGCTTCGAGTATATTCAAAAGATATCAATCACTGCTCCAAGTGAACTGAAAATCAGACCAGACCTTTCGATTTGAATTTTGAATAGCCAACCAGCCAGCTCTGGCTTGGCTTGGCTTCTGGCAGCGTCCCAACTAGAGAAACCACCTACGCCCTCGGCCCTAGCCGGAGGTGACTGTGCATGACCCGGCTGCTTGGAGTGCGGGCATTAAAGTGATTTATGGACTGGCCGGCACACTGCCAAAGAAGAGGCCTCCACGCATAGTCGTGTTCTCTAACTATTTCAGCCAGAGCTGTTGCTGTTCTTTTGTGTTCAGCTTTAAATGCATCTTTGGGCACTTCTCGGTTGCGCTTGCATCAATTATTAAGCTGACCAATGCCTGCCTGCTGTAAAAGCACAGCAAAATTTGACTGAGTTCTTCGATTAGTTTATTATGCAAAATTTAATTTGAATAAACAAGCAATCAATTGCAGGGGAAAAAAGGGAGGGGGTGTTGTTGGTGCTGGGCTGTTATATATTGTTTAGCCATTTGTATTGGCTGCAAAGACCATAAACGCCTTGATTGACTGCGCTTTAGTCATGCTTGCATGAGTGTGCATGTGCATGTGTGTGTGTGTGTGTGTGTGTTTACCTGGCTATGGCATTGACGTTTACGTTTGAAAGGTGCAGCCAGAGCCTGTTTGAACGCTAAGCTGCACAAGGAGCATGCCCACGAATCAAATAGCCTGATCCGGCCGGAACTTGGCTGACTTGGCCAGTCTAAGCCAGTCCAGTCCAGCCCAGCATTTCCAGCTAATAAGCTGACAAAAGCTTTGGTCAAGGCCTTTACACATTTTGCTATGTGATTTATTTTCAATTTTATTTAGTTTTTGTTTTTGGCTAAACATTAAATATATTTCTTTCATTTTTTCTTTTATGTAGGTAAATAACGAACATTCACTGTCATTTAGCTATATTTATATATATATATATAATATCAATTACATTTGGTCATTTATTCACAATTTGTGTGATGCAGTAATTAGTCAAATAGCAATTATCAAATTCAGCAAATGCAAAGTATTTGAAACCGAAAGAGCAACAACAACAACAAATAAATTCAGTTAAATAATACAACAAATTTATCGCATAAACAATTATCGAAACACAGATTTTTAAATATTTATAAATTATATAATTGATGGTAATTGCATAAAATAAATTGGAAACTAATCCAAAGTCTCTGATTCAATATAAAATAACTTAATCTATGCAAATGATATGATTTGATTGTAAAGAAGCTTGAACGGAACCCATGAGATGTGGGTCTTCAGGGTCTACTGTTTGCGTACAAACAGGCAGAAGGAGGCATGGCCGAAGTATATAAATATTTTTAATCAGGGCGACGATGCTGTCCGTCATTATCGTAGATTGATTGGAATATGATCTGGGACTCAGGGTGTCTTCTAGTCTAAATTAAATTAAAATTTAAGATATAATAATGCTTAGATTACATCTCGTCATATTGAAATTTACGCATTCATTTCGTTTTTAGATTCTCATATTTCATATCTAAATTCTTAGCCAGCTTCGTAGCTTATGTGAGCTATTAATTTGTGGGCTGCTGCTGCAACTCAACGATTCAAGCTGCTGCGGCTTGTAGCAGCTAACGTCTGGTCTGCAATGTGATGTAATGTGACACCAGCTGCTTAATGTTTTGGTTAAAAGCATTTTAAGTGAAATGCAACACACATACACAGAATGAGAAAAAGAGCCAGAGCGAGAGAGCGAGAGAGAGAGAGAGAGAGAGAGAGACAGAGAGAGAGTGTGTGTGTGGCAGAAGTTGGCTTGCCATGAAAGCAGCTCCAGGTTCACTTTGCTATTTTGGGAAAACGCTGCTGTCGCTGCTTCCATTGCACGAGTACAATAACTCAGCGCCTTTTGCTGGCCACAAGTACAAGGCAGTGCCGCAGCGCCAGCAAACACAAACGCAAACGCAAACTCATCAAGGCACACACACGCACACGCTGGCAATTTGCTTAAGCGAAAGGTTGCAACATATGAGGCAAAAAACGATGCAACAAGCAGCAACAGCCAGCACAGGATGCCAACGAGCAGCGAGCGCGGCGACCAGTTTCACAGTGGTTAACAGTCAGCTCAAGTTTCTTGCCTAAAAAGTAGTCAAACTTTGGGCCTTGTTAGACTTTGCTTAGAACTGTGAGAATCTTACAAAATACGATTCAAATTAAAAGAGGAGGCTCGATAGCCTTCGATATGGACAAAGTAACATTTATAAGTTAGTCTGGAAAGCGAAATTGAATTTGAAATGTTTTCTTTCAGCGTTTGGCCACTGTGCAATGCTTAAGGCGCAGCCCGAGCAGGATGTTGCATCGACAAAAAGTAGCGACTGCACAACATCATCATTCATTTGCGCTCAGGTGCGTTTTTGTGCGCACTTCTGACTACACACACCCAACACACACACACACATTGTAAAGCTGGTTTCGTTTACCATTTAGTTGTGTTTGCGTTTGGTTTGTGGCGGCTGTTGCATACCTCCAGGCGCGGCGCATTGCCAGACAGGGCATGCAAGTCAGCGCCTTAGGTAAGAGAGTAACTCCCATGCATAACTCGCCAACAACAATTCCGAGGACAGAGCACATTTGGCGGTTGTTTGTCATTCTTACAACTTACAACTTATGCCACATTCTGCTTGACTGTCTGAGTCGCCGTCTCAGCGCTAGCTCCGCCCAACCTTGACCTTAGCACGACTTTACTTAGTTCTATTAGTCGCTGTTTGGCCATGGCAAACATAGTCGAATATTTTTGGTTACAGCTGCTGAAAATGTAATGATCACCGAAGCTCCAGCTAAATACATATTTAACCATTTGTGAATCTAATTCAATAAGGCGGGTTTCTTTCTCTACTGACGAACATTCAATATTTATACTTCAGTTCTTTTATTGGACGAGCAAAGAGGCATAGCTGTGTTTGAAAAAACTTATCTATTTTTATATTGCCTTGTATATTTTTAAACTGTGAACCAGATTCAAATTTAAAAATAATTCTACGAATGGTATATTAGCTTGTCGATCTTATAAAGTTCCAGTTGCTTTATAATCTAAGCATGATATGATTGAGGTAGATAATTTAGATAGTGTAGCTTGTGGAAGCTTTTAGAGCGGGCCATAAAAAAAATACAAAAAAATAACTTAATAAATAGATGAGATATGACTATCTATACCCTTGAGATAGCCTTTTTTAGTTGAAGCTCGTCGTCTTTGCGCCGCTGCTCCTTGGCAGTCAGCACTTGTTGAATGCTGGGCAGAAAGCCGAGCCTTTCGTATTGGGCATAGACGCGCTGTTGCAGCAGCGGCTGATAGCGCCAGATGCTGTCATCTATGATTGGATCGATGAGGCGCGTCTTGTTGTCCGGCTCCCGGTAATGCTGCAGCTGGGCATACTTGATGGGCACTGATTTCGCTTCGCATTCACCGTTTTCTGCCCGAAAGAGTGGAAAGTGATTGTGCAGTCCAATCACATAACGTGTGGAGTGCAGGCATTTGACTGCCGCATACCGATCACAGTGCTCGGCAACGCGTTCCACATGCTGCAGCATGTAGTAGAAGCCGGGCAGCTTCTTGTAGACCTTGGGCCGTTCGGGGTAACTGGGGAAGTAGACATTGCGAAAGCAAAAGCTGGCCCATTCGTCGCATTTCCAAGTCTCCCTTTCATAGTCGGGCACCCTGTATGCCAGCTCGACGAGGTCCGACCATTTGGTGACATTGCCCAGCGGCATGATCACCTCATCAGTGTCGAACACGCCAATGTAGTCGTATTTGTACATGTTGCGATAGAAGCAGTCGTTGTAGGGTATCATTTCGTTTAGTATACGATTGAAGCCGTCAGCATCCATGGCATAGTGTTGAAAATGTGGGCCCGAGTGCGGTTCACCGCGGGCCATGGACAAAGGGCGCACCTCTACAAAGCCTGGACTCGTTTCCATGTAGTCGTTCAGCACTCGCGTCATATTTGGATGCATCTGTGCATCGTAGAAGACCACCTTTCCGGCGCCCAGCAGACGCATCAGTTCCAGCCATTCAATTAGCCGCCAAGACAAGTCTTTATAGATAAAGTCCATGGCCTTTACGCAGACCATAAAACGCAATGGTTTCTTCTGTAGCTGCGTGCTATTGTTTTGCTTGGATTGCTGTTGAGGAGGATCTGTTACAGCTGTACTCGCCTCGTCCGGTTCGTAAACAACGCGCACCAGATTCCTGGCCTTGTCGCAGCGCTTCGTTACCAACGAGACCATTTCGGGCGCCTCCTGCGCCTTGGTGTCGTTTGTTTTCGGCAAGCAGCAGCTGAGGAGCGTGGGATAGACCATGGTCGAGCCGCCGCCCCAGATCCAAATTATCTTGTAGTCTGTCACATTCACTACAACGGGCTCGATGCGATTCCTGAACCAGAGCTGACAAAAGGTTTCCGGATGCTTTACAACGTCACGCTTGCCATAGTGATTGATCATGGTTAGCACGCGGACCAGCGGCGCCTCGATCATCTTCTCTCTGTTGTCGTAGTACGCACCAAAGATGTGATAAGTGAGGTTAGCATTGTTCAAGGTTTGCCAATAGTCGTTGCTGAAATCGATGCCCAATGCAGCAGGCACTTTGCCGCATTTCGGCTCGCCTAGCGGTCGACGGTGCAGCTCCTCGAGCGGAAATGAGGGCATCTCCTTTCGTATCAGAGCCAGTCGCTGCTCCCAGCTGGGCTCTGGAACATGGCTCAGTTCAATTACTTAATTAAAGATCATGACATTGTGACCTACCGTCGCTTTTGTCCACTAGCAGCTCATCGATGAAAACCATTGACTGTTCCGGAATATCCTCAACGGAATTGTTGTAGCCGAAGAGCACGAGCACGATGAACAGCTTTATGGCGATGATCACGAATAGTATTTTGATTAGGCGCACATGACTCGCCTGCATATTGCGCTCAGTTAATGTCCACTTAGTCCGTTAGCTGTTGGATAGATGCGAACTGTCTGGCTCCTTAGTCAATTGACGCTCAACGTTCGATGTTTGACCTACGACAGCTACTTCTGAACTACGGTCGGCAGCTCCGCTCGGATCACGGTTAACTCTCAACCAAGCTAACTTTTGCAGCGCTTACGTTGACATAGTTGTCTTAACGTAATATTTGATAAAACTGTTTTGTGTTGGGCACAAGTAAACACACCAACTGCACACTAATAGATATGCTCTTGTTTTTTATTTTTAATTTTTTTTATTAACAATTACCTGCTGCTCTATCAGCTAGATCCGTCCAAGCACTTAACTACTTCCACCCTAGGTAACATTAAGTTTTTTCATTGTCTTTTATACTATGATATTCATATGACATATTTTCATTATCTCTTCTAGACATTACCTTATGTGGAGTAACTTCCTTTCGCTTACAATTTATTGTCAGGCACAGGTAGATTTCAATAGCTCAAAATCGATTTGAAATCCACTTTTGTTATTCTATTTTCTAATTGTTATAAAGGGAAGCATATCGAAAACCATTAGCTAAGGTTAATATAATGACTTTTGATTCACATATACTTGAACCCAAGAGACACAGAGATACACCCAATGGCACTAGCTGATGTGTATACCGATTGATATGCGTCTTCTTCTCTCCGGCACGTCTCTAGTCCAAGACGCGGCTTATCGCAACACTCTGTTTCTGCAAGCCATTCAGCTGTACTCATAATTGCTACAACTCGAGCATAAGCACGTTCTTCAGCAACTGATGTGCTGTATCTAGGCCAAGCTACCAATCGCATGTGTAATTCCTGTAGCCATCAATAGAAGAGTATGGCCCATGCATATTCTCATGACGTCAAAAGTGGTTTGGCTTTCAATCGAGCTTGCAGTATAGTTGACAGAACAAAAGAAAATAACACTTGGGCAAATAAATAGCGTCCACTTCGGGCGCTGTAAGTTAACAGTCAACGCTCTGCTGTTGCATGCCCAACACCGACAAGTTGCGTCATTGCGTGGCAAGCTGTCTGCTGTCTGCCAGTTGGCAGTTGCGTCTCGACTCGCACGGTTGTGGCGGACGCGACTGCTGCGAAAGCCACTGATTGCGCCCAAAATTATTCAGATGCGATTAGATTGGTTACGTCTGATAACCTAGATAACCACCCAAACTTGATACATTCTTGCCTATCTAAATTGCTATTTAGGCTGCTGGCCTGACAGTTTCAAGTTGTATTGTTTTATAATTATCCGCTTGCTGCTATGAGCATTGCAATTTCCACAGCTCTCTTGTCAGCATCGAGTAAAAAGTTAGCTAAAGTATAGCAAAGATGCTTGGATAAGAGTCTGTGACTTCGGCGACCTGGACGCTGTGACCAGCTCCTGACGGCAAGTTGGGAGGCGGCCGGCAGCAAGATCAAGTTTCTTGTTTGGCTAGCGGTAATTGGGTCAGCATAATGCATTTTAGCCAACATCAAACACAAAAACAATTATTATTTGTAAAACTTTGCCGCATTAAATCTAAATGTTAGAGTATTCAATATTTTGCCTCTATAATTGTCCCGTAATAAAAGTCTCAAATTTGCTTAATATGCTTCTTCACTTCACAGCAATATTTGAAGAACAAACAGCGAGCCCCAGAAACAAGAAGCTTTTGTACTAATCTTTATTGAGGTCGCACTATTTTCAAAGAGGAGCCTATAAAATATTTATACAGATGTGCGCTTTCATAATTATGTTCGCAAAGTGGAAATAATTAGATGAGCTAAATACGGGTTTTTGGCAAAGTTAATTGATTTTTATAATACCGTGTTATTTACGGCGTATTTTTATGTACTTCAATTTACATATCAATTTGTTATTGCAATTGAATATTTATGAATCACATTGCACATTGGCCCATACATAAATATATGTTAAAGCCATATTTATAATAAAATAATTGTTTCTCACTTTGGCTGTTTAATGTGCTTTTTATTTAATTACATATATTTTGTCTCTGTAATTTTCAATCAGTTTTTCACACTCATTAATATTTATGCGTTTTGAAAAGGTAACCCAGAAAACCTAGTAAAGTAGGTAAATAGTAAATAACAGACAAGTCGGGCGTTAACGACTGCATAATACTCAGTTGAATTTTGTGAAGTCAGGAAGGAGCCTGTAAAATTATTGAGCTGCATCTTTTTGTCTTAAAAGTAGCTGACAAAAAAGTGTCTAGTGCAAAAACTGTGCAATTTATAGTTTAAGCCGATTTGTCGCATCTCTCATGGGCGTTGATATATCCATTATATATTTTTTGACCTGGGTTGTTGAAACGAGTTTCAATAAAATGATTTCTGATATACCACATGCAGTATTTACCGATTTGGCACGCCCCTAGTGGGCGTAACACTCTATAAGGCATGGGTACTCTCGAGTATATATTCAAAATTTCATATCTCTATCTTATAGCAAACGAAATGGCTTGGCTCATGCGGACAGACAGACAGCAATTGCACAAAATTAAAATTGTTACATGAATATCACATTTGATTGTCAAAGAAAAAACCACTAAGTGTCAAAATATCATTAGAGAGAACGCACAAGAGTCATATAGCCGAGATGTGCTGCTGCATGCTGTCCCAGTCTTAGTCTCTCCATCTGACTCGAGCTAATGTGGACAAAGTCCACAGCTACAGCATCCACTTCAGTGTATGCTGCTTATAATTTAAAGCTCAGTGATAAATAGTTGTTTGCTTTATATGTTTATTTACTAAGCCTGGATAAGCTGGTGCTGTAAATGTCATCACTTTTGACTGTCCGAGCCTGATCCGTTTACCGCTGAACACTTAACGCCGTCATAAAGTGCCGGCAGGGCCAAGAGAAAATGCTAAAACATTGCACAACAGACATAAAGTGCGCAAAGAAGTGCGCAGCTTGTGCCAGATTTGCTTTTAAAAAGCGCGCTGGGATTGAAATTGGCTCCCAGGCCAAAGACAGCTCGCAGTCTTTGTCGAGGGCCCAAGCGCCATCCTGCCAAAGAAGTCCAACCCCAAACCGAACGCAATTCCCCCAACCCCAATCACAATTCCCAGGAACACTCGCTGGCCCAGACCTTCCAAGTCCACACGCTTGCACAGAAACCTGCTCCTTAACTCCGAGCAGTCACAGCGCACTTACAAATGCGCTTTTAACTTAAATGACAGTCCTAGGAGGGGCGCCGCCTGCAGCGCTGCTGCGAAGCTCTGTTGATACATGGAGGGGTCCCAGCCAAACGAAAGGCAAAAATACGCACTGCTATTTTTTATTTTAGACATTTCAGCCCCCGCCGCCACACTACGAGCCTCATGTATTACAACGATTTGATGTAAATATTGTATTAGTTGGGGGCCAAAGTGTTGAGTAAATTTATTGGCAGCACATAAATCGCTTTTCGAATGGACGAGGCGTTGGCGTTGGTGTTGGCATTGGCATTGGCGTTGCCATTGCCACACCCACAGCCATTTGACAAAGTCGCTCTCGAACCGTGTGGCCACTTGCCAAATAAAAAATCAGTCAATCTCTAGATAAGTGGCATGCGGGCAGTTCGCTGTCAAGGACTCAGCACACTTCTCCACAAGTGAGCCGTGCATGTAATAAACGTGCGAAGCTAATCTTATAATTAGCGCTGAGCCAGCCAGACACACAGCTGGCATCGCACAGCTGGAAAAAATGTAAAGTTCTTAGCTTAGTTTCTTGTGAGACTGGAACTGCGGCTTACTGCGCGTATTCTAGTTGCAAAGAAGGCACATAGAAGCCAGCTGACCACCATAGGTAAAACTAAATTTAAAATGCTGAATTGGGTGCAGAGTGCCGCTAGGAAACTCTCTTTAAACAGCAAAGTCATCAAGCCTAATATATTAATTAGAAGGTAACATTCTCTGAACGGCATACTTAAACCTAGATGAAAGCTGTATCTGCTGACATGCAGAGCCATTAATTACTTAAACCCAACTGCGCTACGAAGTCGAAAAAATTAAAATACGATGCCAAAAATAAGATCAAACACAAAATCGAGTCAATATTTATCTTAACTGGCTCAAATATGCAAAAGACATTTACTTGACGTTAGCTTATTATCATATTTCCGTCTTTCTTTCACTCTTAGAGAGTTCTGAGTAAGAGTATGCAATATTAAGATAGAGGTCATTTAACATATCTTGTATAAAGAACGCTAGCTGCATGGATTTACATACTAAACAAGTTTCCCTGGCGTTTGCCGAGTTCTTTTTGAAGTACAAGCGTTTGCACTTTCTTGAAGCTGAAGTGGGACTGTTCACCTTTGATTACAGTTTCTAATTAAATTTCAGCTAATTATTAGCTCATTTCAGTCAGTTACGTAATATTTGTGATTTTGCTTGGACTGCACCAAAGGCGAAAGTTAATGAAAAATCGTAAACAATTTTGATAAAAATACTTTAAGCATAAGCATAAGTTCAATTGCAATAGAAATTACTATTAGATCTAGTTAGTTAGTGCCAGCAAAGGTATGCCATGGTGAAATGTGTCAGGGGTCTGGCAGGTGCAGGAGCGGGAGCATACTTTTGGGAGTGCCGATAATTAATAATTTTAATTGAAAATAAACGAACTCGTGTCACATGGCCATTCAATTGCAGCCTAAATTTATGCTAAAAATGTATGCATATTTCAATAAAGAACAAAACAAATGTAAATTCAATTCAATTATGTGTAAATAAAACTTTATATTCATATATTTAAAGCTTTAGTAAATATGTGAGCCGCCTAATGCATTCCGAAACTGAAATGCAAATCGCAAGCGTAATCCAAGTCCCAAAACACCAGCCCCATTAAATGAAATATTCAAATGTTGACCTGTCTTCAAACTACTTTGAAATGCGGTTTACACTTTTTTGGCTCAATTTTTGGTCATGTTGATGTCGTTGTTGTTGCTGTTTTGCTGTTGCCATAGCTGCTGCGCCAATTTTAATTAACAAACAACATGGCTGGCTCGTGTTGTGTTGTTTTGTTTTGTTTTGCTTTGCTATTTTTTTTCTTTTTGTTTTGTGTTTTATTTGTAGTTTTGATGTGTTCTATTTTGTTGCATGGCTGCTGCGAGTCAACGCCTCGAGCTGTGCACAGCGTGAGAGCGAGAGATGCTGTGTTTTCTCTTGATTTAAAGCTTGTGTTTCATAACTTCTGCAAAACCTTCACATACTTATGAGCTGCCGGAATATTGGTTTATTGTTGGTATTTATTAAATACGCACAAAGATTCAAAAATCATTTTGTATGCATACCAAAGGGGCGTGAGCTGCTTTCAGCAAATATTATCAGACACTATTCATATTTGCAAAAGATTTCCGATTGATTTTCAATTCATTTCGACATTTCATTTATCTGAGCAGGTCGAAGCTGTCAAAAAACATTCAAAGCATGAATTACTCTTTAAGGATATAGGCACAACAAGCTCAACTCTTGATTAACAAAGGTGAATCAACAGCTTAAAGCTGTGATTAAATAAGCATAACAAAATTTCAGCTGGATTTGGATATGATTTGAATTATAATGAATTGTTTTTTTAGAGTTACACAAGTTTGAGTCATAGTAAAATAGAGAAATGTACTCTTAATATCAATGAAACGAACTTCATTGAATAGTAAATTTATTGACATTAATGTTTAAATATGATTTCAGATATGACTTGATATACAAATCTAAGCGCTGTGACACGCCGCACATTTGTAGCCGATATAGCTTCACAGCTTAAGCACAAAAATAAACTATTTGTCATGGCTAAAGGCAAGCAGAGACTGTTTCTGCTTGCAACTAGCCCATTAACTGACATTTGACAGCTGATATACGAAAAAGAAAGAAGGTACAAGCAAAATGTTTCAAAATATGCATACTTAATAAGCTAAATTGAAATATACGTATGTGTGTCTATAGTCGCTGCTTAGTATTCAGATGTCGCATCTTTGGGTATGCAACAGAATGTTGCAACAGTATTGGCATTTAGCAGCACTGGATTTGGCTTCCATTTGGTCATTGCACAAATATTTGTCAGCCATGTTCTAGGATTTGTTGCCATGCCTTGGACTTTGACATTTTTCATTTATCCTTTGGCTGCCATTGCTTTAGTGGTTGTTGTTGCTGTTGTTGTTGTTGTTGGTGTTGATTTTGCTTGTTCGCCCAATAACCCCATTTAAACTTATGACAGCCGGAGCCAAATGAAACTTTGCTCTTTTGCTTTAGCTCAATAACACTCGACATGAGCAAACAAAAATGTTGCCATTAGTTAAAGTTGGCTTACTTTATCCCATTCCCACGGCCATTTCCTTCCGTTTGCCTTTTCTTCAGCTTTTTTCTCTTCTTCTTCTTCTTCTTTTCCTTATTTTTTGGGTCCAACCGAGTGCCATAATAAGTTTGGAGCGCAACTTTGCACAGTTTTTGAAGTGCAGCTAATAAGAAATTCGTGAAGTGTTGCTCCAGCGTGTCGACCAAGTGTATTGAGTGTGCGTGTGTGTGTGTGTGTATAGAAATGTGCGTGTGTGTGTGCATGAGGGTGTGTGTAAATATTTATTTTGAAACTCGTCAAGTTTTGCGTGCGATTGGAATTGAAATTGGGCTTTGCCCAGGACTCGTTATCCAACTCAGCATTCCGGAATGTGCAGTTTTTTCGTTTGGTCAGCTTTCAGCTAAGGCCATTAGATATATCCTTTAAAAAGGAGAATGTATGGTCTGATATTTCAATAGGCTGAAAGTCTAAGTCTGCACACAATAAGTACTTTAACTAATCAGCTCAGCTCAGCCTGGGCAAGCTGGGAATAGGGTATGTGAAGTTCGGTTTAGAGCAACACAGCCATTTGGCTACAGGGTATTTGTTAGTGAGGCTCACTTAGCAAATTCAATTTTAAGTGTTAGATTCACTTAGCTTTAGTTTCTTATTCAATTTAAATTGAACAAAAAATAAAGCTCACGGCTCATGCAATGAGCTCACGTCTGTGTTTCAACTTCTGGATCTGGTCTGTTAGGGTATAATTACTGCTACAAGCTTCGCAAAGTCCATATATGCCAATCAAATTTAATGAATACATCTAAAAAAAGGCTACTTTTTGCCACACCATTCGAGCAGGTGTCGAGGGAAAAAAGGTTGAGTTTTTTTTAATCTAATAAATTGTTGGGCGTCAAGAGTTTTGTAATTTGACGTGACGTTTGTGAAGCTGACGTGGCTTTGTGAAGCTGGGCTGAAGTCTAAATCAATTTGCATGAAACATAAGCTAAACAAATTCTTCTAATTGTTATCTATTGAATTTGGAAATGCTTAGCTAATGAGTCCGTTTCAAGTTGTTCAAGCCAATGCTCAGTATATGTCGAGTTCGCAACGACACTAATGTCACTACGATCAAAGCAAGGCCAGATGACAATGCTCTATCAGTCTCTATTATCACATGGATCCATGGACAATTGCTCGTTTGTGTGTTCTGCAAACGGGGCTGAAAATCCCTTGTGATTTGTTGCTTGTAGTGTGCGACGCTCAAAAAATCAATCACACAGTTCGCTTTCTAGAACAGAAATAACATCGTTCGCATGTTGTGATAATCCTAAAATCAAAAGCAACAAATTTGAATTTGGAGCAAAGTACAGAGGAACACAAAAACGGCAATTGAGATCAAGTTATTCGCAGGCAAAGGCAAGTTGAAAATCGATGGATAAGTCGATCGGGACCTCACAAATAGTTGGGCAACTGTTAATTGTTTGCTATTTTGTTCCCCGTAGAGTTCAACGAAAGTGTGCATCATGTATCCATCTAACTTTTACAAGATGAAAAACTTTGCCAATCCAAAGACCATGTTCAAGTCGTGCTCCAACAACGAAGAGTTCTCCACGACGCCAGTGCAAAGCTGCTCACCCACCAAAAAAGCGAATAAACCGGGCTCAGCGAGTGGCCGCAGCGGCAGTGGCAGCAGCAGCAGCGCTAGTTATAAGAGCGTCATGAATGCAACATGCTGCAGCGGTGGTAGCAGCGTATGTTCACCGCTATCCACACCTCGCTCCGATTTGAGTGGTTGCACCACAGACGGCGGGTACATGACTCCATTGGCGCCCGGAGATCCAGCTGGTACGGATACAGTCAGCTTTGGTGTGACTGGCAGTGAAACAGAACAATTGCCAACGGAGCCGCATCATCCTTTAAACAGTGAATGGACGCTGTGGTATTTGGAGACAGATCGCAGTAAGAGCTGGGAGGAGATGCTGCACGAGGTGGCCAGCTTTAATACGGTCGAGAACTTCTGGAGCCTCATAAATCATATAAAGACGCCATCAGAGATTAAAATGGGCAGCGACTATTGTCTGTTCAAGAAGGGAATACGCCCAATGTGGGAGGATGAAGCCAATGTGAAGGGCGGACGCTGGGTAATTACCCTCAACAAAGGGAATAAAAATGATTTGGATAACTTCTGGCTGGACACAATGCTTGTTTTAATCGGCGAAAGCTGTGAATATTCGCACGAGCTGTGCGGTGCTGTCGTCAATATACGCGGCAAGAACAATAAAATCTCCATTTGGACAGCCAATGGTGGCAATGAAGCAGCTGCCCTCGAGATCGGCGGCAAGCTGCGCGATGGCCTGCGCATGGAGAGCGCATATGTGCTGCAATACCAACTACACAAAGACACCATGGCCAAGCAGGGATCGTTGGTCAAAACCATCTATACGCGTTGACGCAGCGGCCTAGTGCCATACGTCGACCACAAAAACAAAAAAATACAACCTTACCCGCACCAAAACAAATGTATCACAAACATAGCACACTTATAATGTCCAATTGGATGTCAGTCCTTCTAATCATCAACTATCCATCGATTATAAAAAAAAAACACAGCAACTGAAATGTTCAATCCACATCATCCCAAAATCGTCAGTCTAACAAGAAGGCTGATCCCAAATGACGGCGACTAAATTCTCAGTCCATAACCGTAGTTCCGAGTTCATTTGAAATTTTTCAGTTGATATTCTCAAAAATAAAGCCCAAATTGTTAATTATCATAAAAATTCCATGTCGATCGCAGCAAATCTTCTATGTCAAGTACATATGTAATTGGTTACAAGAAAACTAAGGAATACTGAAAATAAATTATAATTAACTGGAAACATTTTCATTTTTATTTCTATATGTGCTTAGCTATCTTACTAGATATAGTATATAAATAAATATATAGTATATATATATAAATAGATGTTTAATATTCGGCAAACTCTCGGGATCTCAACAGCTCCACAACAGTGAGGGGCAGGAAACAATGTATGAGCTAGATACCTTTTGATTTTCTTAGGACACTAGCACTAGAAGCCTTACAAGCATAGACTAATATCTTCTGTATTGGTTGGAGGAGTAACTGCATTAAGCTACCCAACTTTGAACTAATTTCCTCCGAAGGCACAGATAAAAATGCCTTGATATTTCCAAGACTGTGAACGTTTAAGGATTGGATAAGAGAGAGTCCTAAAAGTTTACTCCACGCTTACTTGCAGTTCGCCAGAGATCACATTGTCCTTGCCAGTTTTGAACATCCTAAGAATTGATTGTCTTTATTATTTAAGAGAACAATTAGTATTTTAAAGCATTTGAATAAGAAAGTTCCACAATTGGCTCAACTCTCTGCTGAAACTTCACTGGCTAGATTGGCTTCCTTTGTATTAAATTTAATGGGATCTCTATTCTCATATCTTCATAAAATGATCTTAAAGCTGTCGATGTCATTGGCAATTGAAGTACATTATTATTATACTGTTATTAACTACATTTATCAAATTACACAGATCGTTTCGTATGCATTATGCGTGCGTGCTCTACTATTTGTTGTGTCAATAAGTTAGGCAAGCTCCCTACAGTTTTGCTTAGGTGAAGGCAATGCATCTGCCAATATATGGCTATGCTAACATGGCCTGCCGCTTGGCTCGCTTTAGTTGTATTTTATTTTTACATGTTTTCTGTTCTTTTTTTTTTTGGTTATTTGAACTGCTTGGAGCTGTTAGGGGCCACGTCGTTAGTTGGACTTATTTGGCGCACGGCGTCGCAAAAGTTGGCCCCGCTCAATTGTTTGATTTATTGACGTTTATTGGCAGTTGGCATTTTATTGTGACTATTTTTGTTACCGCATAGAACTGAGCAGTGACGGTGCGGGATCGGGTCAGGTGGTAGCCAGCCGCCGCCGCCACATGGTTTCTGCCGTATACGCTTGCCCGACCGACCCCCTACCCAGCGTCTCCTTTTCCGCTGTTGGTTTCGGTTATTGGCACTGGAGCAGCGACGTGCCAGCCACGGGTCACCCACAAGCCGTTGACCACTTTACTTCTATTTGATTGCCTTTTTTTCTCGCTCTCTACACATTTGCTTGAGCTTGTGTTGTTTGCTTTGTTCGCTGAACAGCGAATTGTGGTTTATATATACGAAGCAATTGTGCAACATTTCCATAAAAGATTGCCCAAGAGTTATTGTTGTTAATGGTATTTAATCCTGTTAACTGTCAAATGCACATTAACCCACTCTCGACCACCTTTGACTTTAATCACCAGCTTTATGCAATGCAAGCGATATCGAATTTCGGGCAATAACGGAATGTATAACACTAGCCAACAGGATTGACTTTCCAGCGAAGCTCGTTCAAATTGTCGACGCTGATAAAAGCAATATATATATATATATTGAAAGGCCTTAATTAGCTTAGATATTTATCGACACGATAATACTGATTAAAATTAATTTTGATCCTAAAAACATCCTTTCACGACAGCTAAAAAGTCTAAAAGTCCTTCGATGTGTAGATTTATATATCAGTATATATATTATGTTTGTATTATTGGGCATTATAGGCAAGCAGTACGGTCCCCTCAATAGCCGTCTCGGTCAAAGGTCAACGCGTAACGCGCAACGCCTTGTGTATTGCTGTATCTGTGCCATAAATATATGAAAGCTTCTATGTTTGGGGCCAGCGAGCAGCATATTTGGCGCTGATTTATGGCATTTAATTTCGTTTTATTGCATACACAGGGGGTGGCAGTAAATTAGTTGTAATTGCGTCCTTGTCCAAAAAAACGAAAAACCTGCCACAAAATTGATTAAAAACGCTTTAATCCAAATGCCAAATCGTCTTGCTGCAAATGTGTTAGATCGAAACATCTAACGTGGCTAGCAGCATACGATTTCAATATTTCATGCACGTATGCTTACAGGTCTACTCATTCGGAATATTTTATAATAGAGTTAGCACTTCAGCTAGCTTTGGCCAAATACAAATAGGAAACGAGGCGGCGTCAGCTGAAAATTACAAGCACTTGTAACTCTTGAAGCCTCTTTGAATGTCACCCTGAAGTAGCGAATGTGAAGAGTTAATTCTTATATAAGCAATGATTTGGATTGGTTTGAAGTGTTAAGAATTCCCATTGGAAAGCGAAAGCTTTACACGATCAGCAACATAATTCAATGAAAGCAAATAAATCTAAATATAACTGAATACACATATAAGGATATATATTTTTACATATAATATATATATATATATATATATATTAGAAGCTGCGACGTCAAGTGAAGCACAAACGTTGCCGATTTTAGCGTGTGGAAAATCGACAAATATGCAAAATAGCGCAGACAAAAAGGTGTAAAAAAAATAGGGAGAAAGAAAGAAGAAAAGCAAACCGACGACCGGCCCCAGCTACCCGCACACCCCCCACAATTTGAGCAATTGGCAATGGCAGATCCACGGCACAGAAAATTTACCCGTGCAACTACACCCCAGACAGCCAGCTAACGGGTCAGGTGGCTGGCAGCCCCACAGGTAGCATTTGTGTTGTAAAACGTCGATTTACATGCGTGTTATGTCCTGGCAAAGCGAGAGGCAGAGCGGAGTAGAGGGGGTGGGGGCTGCTGCCAGTGGGCGCTGATGCCCAACGTATTTCAATTTATTTATTTTTATTTGCGTATGCAAAATAGTCGGCTTGATTTTGGTTAACACACGCACACCCACGCACACACAAGTACTCACAGCATGAAAGTGCTTTTCCATTTGCGAAAGCGTGTGATAGAGATACGCGTGTGCCAACTTAAAGCTGCAGCATTGAGTTTTAAAGAAAGTTTTCCGACTCTAACAGGCTTATATTTAGACACTCGTCTATATCGTTCAAATATTTCTTGCCATTTATCAAATTATAGAGACAAGAAAGGTTTATCTGTCAGCTGCTGGCAGGTTGGTCAGTTGAAGGTTAAGTGAATATAGTATCTTATAAATAAGTGTTATTTTTTTAATATTTTTGAAGATTAGATCTACTCTATAGAACGTTTTAGTTGAGGTATATATGCATAGGGTTTTATGTGTATTAAATTTTGTTATATTTTTTTCATTCATGAGCCATGCGCTTTCGGCTCCTTTGTCATAGAAACTTATAACGACGCGAATTAACATTAAGCGTCTACTGATTGAGATACAACACTTTATGCTGAACTGAGGATACCGGAGCTAGAGCTATCTACAACTTGGAAGGGAATACTTAGAGCGACTCGAAGAGGAGTAGATGAATGACTACTTGAAGCTACAATCAGGTATGAAGAACCGAGCTTCGTATTATTTAAAATTCTTATATAATATTTATAGCTTATAATTTCAGCAAGCGCAATGCTCTCCCGCAGTAGATCGGTTAACAAGTCATTCCGAATCTTCAATCTACTCTATGCTTAAAAGTCTCATTCTCTTCTCTTATGTTTACTGGAAGCTTTCTCCTGCAATTACAGTTCTATTGCCATCGACGCTCAGCTAGTCAGCCAAGCACAGTGCGCAATTGGCAAGCACTACTGCCAGTCCCAAAGCAACATTAATCAATTGTTGGAGAACGAATGCTATATGGAAGTTGAGACAAGCTATTAGAGCGACAGATTGAGACCGAGCAGAGCATTTGGCATACGTCAAACAGGCGATACATTATTGAAATAGCTTCCGCTTGAGGCCCAGCGCTGACTTTGTGGGTCCGTCTCCGTCTCTAGGACACTGCCTAATTATGTGGCTCAAGCACACAGCAAGTTAATGTATGAAAATTGGTTGTATTGGGCCGTTGTTCGAGACTACATTGACGTAGTCCTGCCTTGCCTTGGCATGGCTCCTAAATACGTAATGACATGGCTGGCAGTCAGGCATTGGTGTGATTACCTTCTGGGACGAATGGTGAGCAACGTTCCGAAAGCTGTTTAGCATTTGACTGACCATTGACCCCATCACCTGCCCTGGGCCGAGTTCAAGCTGCAATTTGGCCATTTGACACATCTTGACAAGGCCAACGTGTTGCTCGTCTCATTTGGCTTTAAAACTTTTTCATATATCAGCTAGTTAAAAGTATATTGTTGTTTAGAACTGGCGTGGACTGTAATTCAAATTTGAATTGATTCAGTACAAAAGGGAAATGCTAAAAATTCATATAACAAATCAAAGTTTTGCACAACTATTTTTATGATATATATATATGTATATACATATAAGAAGATTAGACTGAAAATAAATACTCTGCAGTCAGATGACATGGACTGTGCTTTGACTATCGTAAATTCAATACACATACATTAAATTTATTATATATATTTAAGTAAAAAGGAAGAGGGAGAGAGGCAGAGAGGGAGGAAGAGAGAGAGCCTGCATCAACTTTTTATTTTTAAGGCGAAGGTAGAAAAAGAAAATAACTGATATTCAATTTCACTTGGAAAGTAATTTAAATGGCTTTAAATATTGCTAGAGTTGTGGCATCAAATACGTTCGTATTGGTACTCAAATAGTCAATAATTGGTGCGAAGCTTGACTCTAAGATTAGTTTAGCCAAGCAAACTGAACTGCATAGTGCATTGTTTACTGATATCGGTAATAATAATCGCTGTCAGTGCAGCGCCATTGAGTGACCTGGCTTAAGCGCAGCCGTTGATGCGATATGAATTTTATCAGGCCGCAGACCAAACCATTTGCAAATTAACATCGGATCCTGGCAGCGGGTCTAGCCAGTTTGGCTGC